AACCCCCAATACTAATTGATAGGAAACGTTGTTGTATACTAATAATGAGATCAGTGTGCGCTGTGCGTTATGTGTGGCTGTGCAAGTTGGGGACGTCTATGTATAGTAGAGGATGTAAAAGAGCCGATGTTAATGTTATATAATCAATGGAACGTATGTTATGTGAGAGTAATTAAGTTCGTTTATATACTACAATTGATTGATAAAACACATCGACTACTACGCTCAATAAGCGAGGCCGCGTACGGCTTCCCACGAAACCTTGCCACGTACCGCCACGTATGTAGGCACTCAACTAGCAGGCACATAGCGGCGTCAACGTATACAGTTATACTCTGCCATACAAACCCTCGTACCATAGTTACTCTGTTAAACCTGATACAGAGCGACGACATGGAGTTCGATGTAAGATATCGAAGAGTTTTTAGTCAGTAAGAGTCGGACCTCTCTACGGCGAAGGAGAAACTCAATTGACTATTTCCGTCGCCCAAAAAACAATGTTTTACGGGCTTGAGGCTGAGTTCCGTCAAATTGTTTTGCTTCATTCTACATTATATTATTGCGATACTTTTAAATATTTATAATTGTATATTAATAACCAAATCGTAATACAACGACTGGTGTGAGGGTAGCGCGCCACATTGCCCTTCCCCGTCCCTAGTCTAATAGTATTAGCTCGCCATCGTCCCGAATTGTTGGACCATCACATTTACACACCACGACGATACAGAACCCCCTACCAAGTGCTGGGCGCCTACCCTCCGTGTAACGACATGATACTAGTTAGCACGCTCCATAAAGTTCTAATGTTACCGATGCAGCCTTCACACCTCGGTGCCCTTATAGCATCCCCAAATTACAAGTCCACAAATCCACAAATTTACAAAATTGCAGAAAGACCTATAAACTGGATGAGACTTTATGAAAATTATTGGAACGTAAGCGCGGGTAAAGTACAACAATAGCCTGCAGAACCGCAGGTAGCAGGTTCCATCTTGAGTGTATTCGAGGTCGTCTGGAGTTGCTCCAGATTCCGAATCGCGAGCCGAATTAATATTTGTAGCGAGTCAGTATTGAGGACAATGGCGGCGCCGACCAATAAAAACTAAACTCATCTCCTCCTTTGCCAAGAAGCCTTATTAATCATGTGCTTCGAGTATAATGTGCGATCGAAAATACGCACATTTTTGTACTTATGTAAATAAAAGAGTGGGAGTGCCAGGATTTGGCGATTTGGTCGACTCGTGATACACTGCCCTCACACAAAACCGGGCGTTGTGTTTCGCCGTCTGAGTGATGTTACCGGGAGTCCAATACTTCTACTATTCCTATCCGTCCGCAATCCCTCCTCATATGCAAAACCATAATCCCCAAAAGGCCAACAACATGCTCGAAGCTCCGTTAGCGTATCGGGTGTCCATGGGCGGCGCTGGTTGCTGACCATCAGGTATGGTCTGATCCGCTCGTTAAACAACTTGCAACTTTAGTTAGCCGGTTTGGCATTTGGCATTGGTACAAGGACTGATTAACTATAGTGATGAAAGAGATAAAAATATTATTTTTCTTTTTGTTTGTAGCAATTCTGTGAACGTCTCTAACATCCCCCTAATCCGGGCCCTGGGCTCACAAAAACTCGCACAATGTCGCGAGCACGGCCCGCCGAGTGTCACGTCATGTGCCGACTCTCATAACTCACCTACTTAGCTGGCGACCATTTTTCATCGCGTTTTTCAGCTAATGGCACTGTGTCGCCCCGAGCCAGGCAGCTCAGATTGAAACGTATGCTGTGCTTAGTAACTGAATTTACGATAATAGTAATCGCTTCTCTCACTTTACAGACAAGTAAATGGTTCACTATTACAGCAGCAAAAGTAACATTGATCCCATTATCAATGGCAGATCGGATACCTTCCAATGTCAAACAACTTTTCAACACAACGATTTTGTACTTCAATAAACTCAGTTTCAATAGGAATGCTAGACATTAGGTACATTATTTAATTGGCACTGATGTTTTCCCTACAGACAGTACGCCTCGTGCCTGCATTGAGATGCCTGTATAATATAGCTGATGTTGCTACAGTAGGACTCCTTCCCTAAGCTAAAATTACATTCGTGAGCCGCGCGGAGCATTAAACACAGAATTTATCCGTGAAACCGAATAATGGGACGGTTCGTTTGGCGGCGCGTGGCTCGGCCTAACACTAACGAGCCGCGCTTGTATTGTCAGCGAAACACAATTTACGCAATTACGTATTCATCATACCGGGAGCTCAACCTGAGACTCTGGTTACTGCTACATCCACACAATGTGTATGTGACATCCACTCGTACTGACTTTCCCAATGTAAATGCCTAATTGCACATATTTAGAAAACTCTGCATTACTGTTTGTTCAGAACATGTTTTCTTCTGATTCTAATTATTAATAACTGACTGCTGCTACGTACAGGTTGCCCTTAGTGAGTGATGACTCTTAATGCAATAGTTCGTGAAACACGCCAACTGCACAGCTGCCTTTGAAAACCCTAACAATTGTCCATAATTAACCAGGAATTTCTAAAGGTCTTGCAAATGGAAATAAATATATAACGATTGGAGCTTCACTATATAATTGGGATATATATTGGGAAGAAATTCAATATAATTTTTCTTATTGATTATATTTCTTTGATAAACAAACAAAACAACTACATTGATTTGAATTTGATTCTTATTTAGTTAGGAGCCACTGCTTTTAAATCTAATGTATAAGATAATAGGGTGTTTCCAGATTTGTTCGATTTTGTTACGGATTCGTGTAGCAAATTAGGAGGTCGTGCTGATTCGAGCCGGAGCAATCTGCACGTCAGCAGGACGTGGGCCGCATACTGCCTCGCGCTCCTGTGGCCCTGGTACTCGGTGTGGGACACATACGAAAATGGGCAAATTGGGTATTATTCCTAAAAATGATATTATGCGTTTTCGGTTGATAATCGACATAAAACTTCGATATAACATATTAGGTACATGAATTTTTAGCCAAAAGGTAAACAAAACAATTTCTAAAAAAAAATAATTAAAGCGTAGTTTATGGAATGTCACGCAAACCATCAAGATCGGCGCTAGAATATACCATCTGGCCATTCTATGATTACGGCGGCATCTATGGTGGCCATGTAGTGTTATAATCTCAATTTATGGATGGCCACCTCACGTTTTAGCGCGATAATTAATCACTATCAGGAAATATATATTTTTTATTAAAATAATTCATTTTCTGACAACAACACAATCGTCGTGATCCAAACTAATATTACAAATGCTAAAGTAACTTTGTCTATCTTTCTTTTCTTCACGCCTGAACTATTGAACCGATTTCTGAGAAATTTGGTACAGACATAGTTTGGAACTTGAGAAAGGACATAGGATAGTTTTTATACCAACAATCTGCAGGAAGTCACTATTCCAAGCGAACGGAGTCGCGAGCAAAAGCTAGTGCATGTATTGATGTAGTGATATAGTGTATGTATCAGTTCTTTTTATAGTATAGGTCGCCAGATGAGCAGTCTGATGGTAAGCTGTCGTCCTAGGACACTTGTAATACCAAAGTAGTTACTACAAGTGCGTTGTCGGCCTTTCGACAGTTATTTGCAATTTAAGGACACGTGACTTAGGGAGTGAGGATGGCGGGGAGGATTATGCCTTCAGTAACCTCACTCACCCGTTGAACCACAATGTGAATGTCTCACGCCGAGATTCTGTGAAACCATGGTATCACTTTGGTTGGGCCGGCCCATTCGAGCCAGTGCATGACTATCGCAAAATTGTTATCTATACCAATATTATAAAGAGGTAAAATTTGTAAGTTTGTATGTTTGTATGTAGAGGGAAATCTTAAGAACCGCTGGTCGGATTTCCAAAATTCTTTCACTAATATAGGTATAGCTACAATATTCCTGAGTGCTATAGGCTACAAGGGCAGCGGGTGAAACCGCACGAGAGTAGCTAGTTGTGTATATTTGTCATACCTTTAAAGTAACCAATTGACTATATTTCTTGTACAAACAGGTTACAATGTATGGTGAGAAAGTAGTTATCTGATTACACAAGTAGAGGTCGCCTCTGTCTACGTGCAGATAACGAGCACCTGCCCCACAGTGCGGCAGGTCAAGGTCGCGGCGGTGACTCGGTCTATAAATATATAAATATAGTCACTTCGATTAGAGGTAATCCTCTTCCTACTTGTGTATGCATTGAAGCAATAAAACTCATAGATTTATTCGGTACACTCGGACGGGAGGGAAGCCCTCTAATAATGTTCCACCACTATAAATAATCGAGGCTCGAGCAATAAGGTCGCTTGACAAACTCAATCGAGCCCCGCACACCGACTCCAGCCTAACGTGACCCTCGTTTGTGTGTGAGCACACCACCTCGAGAGCTCCACATGGCTGGCCATTTTTTGTCAAGGAAGTTGGAGAAATGTATTGGCTTTATTTTCCTTGTAATAAACGATTCCGTCGATTAATAGCAGAGTTTGGTCGTTATGTTCAATCAGGAATAAAAATTTTCATAGATCGGGAGCAAACTGAACTTCCGCGGCAACGAGAAAAAAATAAAAGCAGTTCAAGTGTCCCTACAACAACCTGCACACATGCACGCATCACTTATTCTGTCTGGAAGCTGCGGAGCCCTGCAGGCAGACTGTCTTTGAAATGAAATAGAAATCATGTCAGACGGACAGTAATACGGAATGCGAAATACTTCGCGATGCATTGCGCGCCGAGTACTACGTCTTTACAATCTTATTGAATTGTTTGTTCCACTCTGCAATGGAAATGACAGGCAGACAGAGACTGGATCAAGATATGTGGTAGAAAATAACTCGCCAACTAGATTCAGGGACAGGGAGGTTTAAGAAAATAAGTTTTAGAAACAAAGAGGTAAGAGTAACACCACGGATTGGAAAACGTTGCTCGACAATACACTGTGAACGTGCGCGCATACTGCTCATGAACATGAGTCCTGGTGAGACACGAAACTAGTAGAGCTATTTTTAAGAACGTCGCGTGATATAGCGTCCTCCTGAATATCTGACAATAACTAAATAATACTCAGAAATTGTCTGCTAAGAGCCCAGTAGAAACTAAATTATAAGAACCAGCAGTCAGCCATTAGCTCCTTACATATAGATGTATGAGGGAGATTGCAACATTGTGTCGGACCCTAATACCGGCTACATTACCGGTCCGCACAAAGAGCTCGACTTTTCCGTTCGTATGGAGTAATTCGACCTCGACAAGACGGACTCCGCTGGCAATACTGGCAACACTGGCGGGAGCTGCCATCAAAAACAATCGCAACTTTATACGCACGGAACGACAGCTTTGCGCAAAACCCGACGGAGGCGGTGTACTCCAACGCAGGCTCCGTGCTTATGTATCAGCTAAAAGGTTTTTTGTGTTGGCCGAGGCAGTTCGCTCCCCGCGCACTCTTTATAGGTTTCATGGCGCTCGCTCACATAAATAAACTTTTGTGACGGGCCATACGTCGAATCTTATTGCAATAAATTATATTTTCGGAACCGTCACTCCAGTTTGTTAATCAGATAATATACAGATACTAACTAATTTACTGTTCAATAAAATTTAAAAACACTAATTAGCGTATGTACTAGGTGAATAAGGTCTGCATCTATTTGTGAGTCCTAGGTACAAATATAGTTTATCAATCCATCTTTAAACACCGATTTAGACTGAAAAGTGGAATATTCCTTATAGTTATCAGCGAATGAGCCAATACCAGTGAGTAAACAAGTGCAAACGCCATGTCAATTGACAAAATTATAATATAGCGCTGCATATTGGGCACCCGCCGGAGATGGGGAGCTCGTATTGACTTCCTCGCATCATGATAAGATGCGACTTCCGAAATCGATCGGCTAACACCCACTGCCACTCGGCTAGGAGCTTTTTTTATGGAAATATTTGTGGAGCGGGAAAATCCTGAAGACATCGGCTCCTATACTGTTCTCTTAACGCTAAGGTTAGCTAACAGTTCTTGTTGTATGTGACTCGAACCAATGAATACTTAAATTGTTTTGTGAAATATTAGTGATCGCCAGATGGCGCTAATGTAAGATAAGATCCTGTTTGTTTAATTACTACAAAATATCTTATTTCCCACTGCGGTGGAAGCTTTGTGAAATATATAGAAGTGTGTAGATAGATACTTTTTGCCAAAACAAAAGGTGTGTCTCGTGAAAATGTGTGTCGATTGTGTGTATGTGCGAGCGCAATGTCTGCCAGGTATGAGCTCTACGCTGCGGATACACGAGGAAAACCCGTTACTGAGCGAGCAGTGACGTGTTCCTGTATAATGTTGTTATAATGAGAAAGATTCGGCCGCAGTCTTTCCTTACCTACAATTTACAAGGAAACTTGAGATTTTACGAAAATAATTGCATTTGTTACATAACAACTTGGGCTCCCCGTCGGTGAAGCGGTTTAGTGGCCGCAGTCGCTACTTCCCAAGAGTCTAAGATTTGATTCCTTGATCGGGCAGAGTATTGCTTGCATCTTTAGTTTTTTCGATAAATGTCAGACAGACTAGACTTGGCATATGACCAAATATTTAGAATATTTATCGTTAAATAAAAACCGCATGAACAGTCCAGTGCTCCGCAGTAATGGAGCCGCGACACTCATGTCACTGTCTGCTGCAGCCGGCAGCTGCAGGAACATACAACTAATAATTACCTTCCGCGACAGAGTTAGCTCAATGTATCCAATTACCAACTGTTCGTCAACTGAACAAAGCCACCCCCCCCCCCCCACCCTTACTAGCCCGCGCCTTCACTTCTCTCCCCCTCGCGAGTCGCGACACAAAGGGGTTCCGCTACGAAGACTAACTGCATTGACGTGTTAATTCCTTAATACTTTAATTCTTAACAACAGATCCGTCAATGGACACCGAACACTTGACGGTACCCGCAGACAGGCAGACGCCGGATTAGTACCGGGCCAAGATGTGTTGCTTAATCTACTAACTTAGTATAATAAGTACAGTAAATAATACGATTTCATTCCAACATTCCCTTTCTGCTAATCCCGCGAGGTAGGTACTGGAGAAGGAATATCTCGGTAAACCCGTTACTAAAAAAGTATGCCAAAGGATCATTCCTCCCATAGTTGGCTACTGTCTGCCAAGATCGTCTGCCGCTACCGCCCCCAGCACTCTACTAGTCACAGCTGACCTCGTTACCCGAACTATTGCGCAAAGTGAAAACTTCGCTAGGTCATCCATTTTTCTTAGTCATTTCAAAATTTCAGTAAAACTAGAACAAAATAATATATTTTCGTCAGTCACGGCACGGACCTTGGCATGATTGACTGATGCATTTGAATATTTACTTGTGTTTGATTGATACGTGAACTTACATTTAAATGGTTAGCAAATTTTTAGGATAATGTGACGTCTTGTTCCACGTCACCCAACTCGCGTCTCTAAGCAAGAACAATGATTCAGCTGGCTGTAAACTTTACTACGAGGCAAGGACTAAAGTAAAGTTGTGACGCCGACGCTTGTGACATGCAATGAGCTGCAGACACAGGCGGAGCCGCGAGCTGAGCGCAGTCTGTGTAAACTCTAAAATGTTCCCCTTCATTCAATTGTTTTTCCAAACGTCTGATGCTGGGGTCAGCCCTCGCGGCCCCTCCCAAACTAGCTTTAATTAACATGCATATCACATGCGAAATTGTATCTCAGAATGTCGGCCATAAGGCACATTTTAGGTAGACGGCTGGCTGTTAAATTATTATAATTCATATCGCCTAGTAATTGCGGAGTTTGAAGTGAGAGCCTTTCATTCGAGGTCTGCGTGAGTAATGGCGTGTAATCCTAGACGCGTCTTATTGGTGCTGCCTGCGTTTTCCCATTCATTTATATTTGCTTGACGTGAGCAATCTACTGTCATTGTGATCTGATGATGATGATGAACCCATGAGTATGTCTGTACCTACTCTGTATTCTAAACCTATAAACCCGCTACTGGAAGTCCTAGAAGTAGCTCGCGGCATTGTCCTTCAAATGGTTGTGTTCTTTGAATTCTCCCAGGGAGTAACAGTAGTAACAGTAACAGACTACTGATAGAGACCTTTTCCCTACGTTCCTACGTATCGCTGAATAGTATATGACCATTGCTAACCCTGACACTAAACCCTCGTTACATCACACCCAGGGAGCTCTACTCCTGTCGCTCCTAGTTCCTGTACCGTTTAGTGAAAAACAGCTGAGCAACCTCAGGTCAGGGGGCAGGCGGCACGCCGAGCTCGGGCCGCCGATCAAAATATGTAACGGCCACCGATTAGGACGATTGCTTTGCTCCCAAATGAACGTAAACCCGACGTTATGGCGCTCCCGCTACTTGTTTATGTTAATTGTCCAGCGACGACCACTACCGCAGCGGGGAACTAGTGTTGGATGACGATGGAAGTGTCATCGTGATCTCTCTGTAGTAAGTGTAGTCGAGCGGTATATATGCACAATGTTGCTCAGAATACTTCAGTAGGAGCATTAATACAATTTGCTACTTAATTGTACTAGTGTTATGTAATTAAACTAAGTAACAGAATAACATATACACAAGTACATATTTATATGTATAAACATATAGTACTTGCAGTTTTTAAAATAAAACTCGCGTAAGTAGGCGACAAGGTAAATAGTAAACATAGATTATGATTTATGATTTGATTTATAGAGATTAAGTTAAAAAGTTATTAGTTTGTGGTTTTGGAAGTATATATCACGAATGCAGCGAAGGTACATGATGCTGCAAGGCGAAGCATTGATGGGCCACAGTGTAGTGAGTAGCGCTGGTAATGATCAGCTGCTCAACATGAAAACGCGCGCGAATCCGTCGGCCGCGGCGTCCTGCGTGCTGTAGTGTTGTACAACAGTGAGTCACAGCACGCACCGCGCTCACGTGCAGCTCTAGCTGACACCAGCGGCTCGCTACTGCAGGACGCGGTAATTGGACACGGCCGAGCATTTGTTTGTATATTTGTACATTACGTGCACAATATCATAGTTTGTTTTGAAGCGCGGTATACTCGCGGCACGGGCCAGCTGCAGTGCATAGTGGAGGAGAGATCTACTTACCGAGAGCTGTCGGTGTGTGTGCGGTCGCGCGGTCGAGCGAGTGACTACAGTCAGAGAGGTTATTCGTGTATGGTGGCGGCCGCGATACGTGCGTCCCGCGCGAAGGCCCGGCGCCGACTGGCCGCGTCGATCGATAGCCCCGCCACCGCCGCGTTACGTTTCCTTTACACCAATCATTTCGAACCAATGTTACTTTTTATGACGTATTTTCGTGGCAACGAAATTATTGCGATGTGCCAACGATAGACATCGCCTGGAGCTCTCGCAGTGGGAAGGAATATTGTCACGAGGTCGGAGCAGAGTGCAGTAGTGGCAGTAAGTACATGCCGTCGGCTATCGCTCGTCCACTCGGGAGTGCGATAACACTCGCAGCGCTCACTCGTTGTTTACTTGCGCTCTCAAGGACACGCTCGGTGGGGAAATGCTCTAATGGAACAGCTGACGCAGCGCACCACGCACTGATACTGTGTGTACTGACTGCGTACACTACTGTACATGCACTATGGGGGAATTGTGAAGGTTAACTTCTACTAGGTAGCTGGAGTAGTGCTGCATGTACTGCTGGGACTCCTATTTAACACCCACTGAATGTGGCAGTGCAGAGCTCTCGGTAATAAGCTCTTCCAAATCGCCCAGACATCAAAAAATGTCGCTTAACTAAAATTACCATAGACTAGATAATCTCGCGCGGGTTTACCCGCTGCCAAGCTCCATTTGATCGTAGCGTAATATTTTATAGCCTATAGCACTCAGGAACATTGCAGCTAACTATTAGAGAAAGAATTTTGGCAATCCGACCGGCGGTTCCAAAGATACCCTACATACAATCTTACAAATTTTACCTCTTTATAGTATTAGTATAGAAGATCACATCAGCAATTAATGCAGTGACTAGATAACCAGAGACACCTTCAGTCATGGTAGTGGGTTCGAATCTGCGCAAAATGTGAATGCAATACAATTTACCAATATGTTTACAGGTATGATTGAAAGACTCTCACCTTACTCCCACAATGTACTAGATATCATAATGTATGTAGCCCGGATACTGTGCTACACCAGAGCTTGTATGAGGTTGTAAACAATGTGAACTTGCCAGAAGAGCAGCAATATTTTTTTTTTTATCCGGTACCTACCCCATACTAGGAATTTCTCTTATGTCGTGGGTGTGTTTACAAAAAAAATTGATTTTACAGAAACATCAAACGCAGGCCCCAAAACAACAATTTGTGGATCACACAAAGAGCTGTTTCTAACTAGAATCGAACCTGCGACACGTTGCGCTGCGCTGCGCTGGTACTTGGGGGCAGCTTGGTTCCGGACACAGTGAAGTTGGACCATTCAAGCTGCGTGCCTCTAGCAACTAGTACATCAACTCTCTACTACTAAAAGACGGGCCAAAATATAACGTAAGATGTAAGCGATCTCCTTTTATTGGAATACCTTTGTATTATATGTATGTATAATTGTATATATAACGTTAATATTCCTGCATGAAATCCTACGAGTAAACAACCCCGAGGGTCCCGCGTGACGTAATCCCAATCAGGGTGCACATTTATCTTCGTCGGCAACACCTCGGCCGAGGCAGCGATGAGCGCGGCCGTTGATGCTGCAACACAACATATTAGAGAACGAATGGCTCAATATCAGGCGTCGCCCTCACTCCCGCATTATACTCCGTTTCAAGAGTCAACAAACAAATTATAACAACACACAACTACAATGGTAGCGTTTGTAAAACGACGTAATATTGTTTTTAAACGTCGCCCCACACTAGTATTTTCTCTGTGTCGTGGGTGCGTTTACAAACATTCAATTTCACACACACGACACCCAGACCCGAAACAACAATTTGTGGATCACACAAAGTGTTGTTCCGTGCGGGAATCGAACCCGCGACACGTTGCTCAGCAGCCAGTTACCCAGCCACCGCACCAACCATGCAGTCGAGTTACTATTATATAATAACTTATTTCTTTATCGCTAATGTCTTCTGTCAAGAAAATTGCACACTTTCCAATTGTATTTTTTTTTTCATGATATATATATCGGCAAACGATCATACGGTTTACCAGACGGTAAGCAATCCGCGCCGCCCATGGACATCGGCCACACCGAAGGAGTTAGGAGTGCGTTGCCGGCTTTTCCATCATCATCTAATCTGTCTGTATCATTTTTATGGTATTACATAAGAAAGGTATCACTGACACTGACAAACGTTTGCATCGCAAGTCAGTGACCGGAATAGGTTCGACTCCCGGTTGTGCTGAGGTTTACAATAACAAACTATGTATGCCTTCAAGTTTGGGAAAATGTTTGACCTTTCAGCAAAGGTTGTCAAATCTAGAAATCGTCTGCTGAAAATGCTCTTGTTCCCTTCCCCGTTGACATTGATGTCGAAGAATTGGCTAGTTTCCTAGGTCAAAAATAAATTAATTCGACGTTTCAATACAACAAAATATTGAAAAATAACTATACTTTTATTCATCGATCGATCTATAAATTAGGTTTTAGATATTTTTTAGCTATTTATTAAGAAATCAGTAAGCTATTTATACTTATAAAAATACTATGACGTCATAAATCAGTTTTTCATACCAATAAAATAGAAAAGTATAGTTTTTGACATTTGGATAAAAGTATTGAATTTGACTAGTTGGAAACTACCGTATTGTTCGATGCATTGGAAAAACTACTACACTATGCATTGCAAAGAATAGAAGAAATACCTTCTGTATGTGTGAGCTTAAGTATCATTATTTCCAAAGGAGGTGTTTGTTTGGTTAAAATTATTCATAAGTTATCGAGCCGCTGGAATCTTTCCTTTGATGATGCCGTGTCACATAAACAAACAATGTGTCTGTACTACCTTTTACCTACGAAGCCGTAAATAAATACAAATATGTTTCGTTGCTGTGCATTACCTACTATTCATCTTACTGTGAACTTTATTTACATATGTAAGCTCGCATTCGCTTCCATAATGAAAAACAAATTACAGTTTAACGCAATAACTGCGTCGGTTCGAGCGCGAAGCGTTAACAAGTCAGTGACCGCAGGTTCGACTCCAGCTTGAGGTATACCTTATATGCCTATTATATAAACTTTTCAATTTCTGTAACATATTTCCTAGAGGTTCTACTTGTTTACACATCCGCCACCATCGGCTTACTTTCCTCTACATTTGTCTTTCAGTCGTGGCTGCATTTATTATATAGATACATAAACATGGCACATGAAATACAAACTTGTTATCAACCGACACATTACTCCATAAGGGAACTGAACTTGATATACGTTGCATAGTAACCTGCAACAGCTCAAACGCCATTCACGTTATGTGAGTGAAGGTCATATATTTGAATGCCAGGATGGCACGGGGTGAGTGCTGTGGACCCCTGCAGCACAGCGCGGCCGCGGAGCATCGACCAAACTTGTGAGGGCTGTAACCAAGCGCCCGCTACACGAGTCACTAGTGCCAGCTCCTCCTGCGGACTGATTCTGTAGTTTATTGTATCTACACCGCGGTTCAAGCTTAAACTTTAATACCCCGCAGTGGCAGTCAGTAATACTATTGTGTTTACATATACAACTATTTGTCGTTAATACTTTCAATTGTTCGTCGTGTGTTCTCTTGTGCTGTTGTTGGTTTCGTGTGTAATAGTGGAGCATCGATCCTCATGGATCTCCAAACGTTCCTAGTGGACAAGTTCACGCGATGGTCACCGCCAGAACCCAAAGTGCTGAAGAGAACGAAATGTTCCATCACTCTGGACTGGCACAATGTGGAGCCGTTCGACTTCATCCGCGACCAGCTGCTGTACAGGTTGGAGAAGAATGAGAAAATACCTCCGTGGGTAGTTGTCTATAGGTGACTGACGTTACTGCTCACTTTGTGTTTAGGACAAAGACATAAGGAAGGTACAAACAGGAACGTTTACTTCGTAGAGGCGGCAAAACTTCAAAGGAGATAGACAACCTGGCGTCGAGGCACTGCCACAAGTTCCGGCTGCGAGTGATCGTGCAGGCGGCGGCGGTGCCGGCGCTCGCGGCGCGGGCGCTGCGCTACTACGGAGGCGAGGCCGCTGTGTACGACAGCATGAGGGGCATCGGAGACAGTGACGACAGCAGTGGTGAGGGTGACGGTCCACACACGGGAGCAGCTCGGTCTGATGACAACGTTGAAGTGCAAGCAGAACGAGACAAACAGCACGCAACTAAGTAAGCAGCCAGCCGCTAGCAAGATGCAACAACTTTAACATTTACTCGTATATTTACTCATAATTATATTAAACGAAGGTATAGTAAGTTCTACTCTAAAATTGTACAACTCGACTAGGAAAAACCTGGTACAAAAACTACAGAGCTTCAATAATGATGAATCATTGTGATGGTCGAGTGATTACAGTGTGTAACTGAGACTGAGTAAAGTATTTCTTATTCAAAGAGGTATTCACTCGCCTCACCTTGGGCGAGAGTCATTTGATGAATTTCCCCCTCAAAAAAAGAGTATTCGCTCAATTCATTATTTTTAGCGACTGGGTATGGGATGGAATAGTCAGACAATCCAGCGTTCTAGGTCGTCATAAATATACAAACCTCATAGGAGAGATTATAAAAAAAATTGAGATGTGAGTTCCTAAGTTTAACCTGTGTTCTTGTTCGACCAGACGCGAGAGCGTGATGGAAATAGTTAATAATAAATATCTCCGTGCATTGCGTCTCATACTTCGACTAATGTGCATCTGTCCGTGGTTCAGGCCGGCTGCTGTACCGGCAGCAGGTCAGAAGTGGCTGGCCTCGCAGTGGTCGGCGCTGACGTGGAGCAGCACGGACACCGACGGCACCTCCGCCGTCTGCTTCTGCATGGCCGTGCGCTGTGGCTACCTCAAGCAGGCGAGTGCACACACACACATACACTCGTATCGACACATGTCCTCACATCATCGGGAACTAAACTCATGCATTTCTAACTATTAGATTACTTTATACAAGTAAACTCTTTGCTGGTAATGTCGAGCGACATCAGATGGATTAGAGGTCAACTTATGATGGTTGGTCTATCTACGTACCTACTATACTGTGTGTAATAACCAGCCTTTGTCTCTTACGCTTACAACTGGATTGAAAGTCACTAGCCATTGATCTCTATATGAGGGAAGTAAATAAAGTGACAGCCAACAATGTAACACGCAGGTGCAGGACATGCTGGACGAGCGGCCGGCGCTGATAGGCATTATCAACTCTAAGAACGGGTTCACGCCTCTCGCCACCGCCGTAAGGAAAGGTACATACATCACGCCGCACTGCTGAGCGTCCCTATGTTGTGAATGTACATATAAGGTAGTAGCTTTGAACGATATTTTGTATGTTCCTACTTGGACTACATTATTCGTTGTCAGTGACGAGTCGAAATTAATAAAATGTCCTAATTCTTGGAGCGGATGAGAGAGGCATTGTCCATTGAATGAACGCAAGTGTGTGCCGATCAATTTAATTGTTTCGTAGATTGTGTCAGTTGACCCCTGACGCTAACTCCGTGCAGGAACAGAATCTAATTAGTAGTCTCCCACACCTTCCTACTCAATACACATAGTGAATACTCGAGATATGTTATCGATTAAATGGCCGTGTTATATAACTTTAAAGTATTTATATTTTTCAAGAAGGAGAAGTTCAAATAAATTATCTACGACTTTGGAAATTTGGTTGTAGTCGTTCTACGAAGAAAACTTATGCATGACATATAATTTTGGTTTCCACGGTACAACGTATATTAAAAATAAAATAATGCAAGTTTTACTCGGAACTTAAACAAAAATGATTATGAATACAGAATTCATCACCATCATAGGCATAGGCAAAAAAGAATGAAAAAATAGCCAATATTCAAGTTCCAGTTTCTATGTTGTTGTCCTGTTAATGATTAAATCAACTCAAAGAAATGACATTTCTAAATTCACGTTTTTAAAAACAATTTCATAAGTATCTAAAATATCTTCAAAAACCTAATAAGCCCTGCGGTACGCTCACAGACATGCTAACACCCCGTTAGTTTACGCTTTACTTCGTTAAGGTACTTTAAGTTGCCATCCCTGAAGGAATTACTTACCTTAAAAAAAGTACAGATATACATAATAATATGTACCTTAGTAAATGAATGCCAATTATTATACACGCCGGGCAAGTCTATTAATAAACCAAAACAGCGACCTTTGTTATGTAATACGTCAGGAGATATAAACACGGTGCGGTTCCTGCTAAGCGCGGGCGCAGAGATCGAGCAGCGCTCGGCTACGGGCCAATCAGCGCTGCACATCGCGGTACTCAACGCTAACATCCCCATCGTGCAGCTGTTGTTGGAACAAGGAGCGGACTTCGGGGTAACACGCACACTACTATAATTACCACACTGACCAATTACCATATACCCGGCCCGACGGCAGGCTCTTTACACAACACAAAAACTGTACTGAACTCTTGAACTAAAGCTGTATACAATGAGTAGTGCAAGCGGAAAGTTGTTCATTCCGACATGTTGGCAGGGGCGAGACCTGAACGACCTCCGAGTAGAACACTACGCAGTGGACTCGTGCAGCCTCGAGATGCTGCGCTACATCCTGGGCAGAGGGGGCGACGTGCACGTCGAGGACAGCAACGGTTGGACGCCACTCTTCAGAGCGTGTGAGTGGGGTCTGATCGTGGTCGCCCGACATTGACATCGCGGCAGGATATACAGCATTCTCTTTACCGATTTGTTTCTCGTCAACTACGACGTTGCATTAGTCAATCCAAAAAATGCAAAATGACCAAGTAGCTAACAAACACATGCTCAAAACATACTGTGTTTTCTATCCAACACTCTTTTCTTCCAATAATTATGCTGACTCTAGTCATATCTACAGTAACAGCATCTGGGTCTCCTTAATTTATAAATAAATAACATTTTATACGGCGTATTGTAAGTATAGAGCGCTGATAGTGTCGGTATCAGTGTGCCAGAACGCAGCAACGGAGGTGATCGAAGAGCTGGTGGTGCGCGGCAGCTCGCTGGAGCTGGCCGACCGCGCCGGACTGCCGCTCACCTCCGCTGCGCGCCTCCTGCGCGATCGCCAGTAAGCGCTAATAGACTTGCAAACTATTTACTTTAGATAATTAATTAGATCCTGCAGGTCCTAATTGTAATCACAAGTGGTTGGTTCTCGCTACAGAGGGCGCGGCCGCGACTCCGTGCTGAGGCTAGTGGACACCAGCTACCCGCACGAGAAGGCGCTGGCTAACTTCACGCGCCTCACCAAGAAGATCTACAACGTGCACTCACTGCTCAAGCTGCCCAGCCCGAGGAACAAGAACTAACGCTGTCAGTCACGAGCCCTGCTAACTGTAATAGCATGTGCATAGCGATCCCATATTCTAACATGCGACCAAATATTTTGGTGAAGTTCAATTACATTATTAAATCCAATCAGTATAATCATCGAAATAAAACTAGAATTAAATATAAAACTAATTTTATTAGAAAGTAAAAATATTTACAAAATCCTTAAATACTACGGGAGTATTGAATTGCATTATGCGTGTAACAAAGTGGTAACAGGTGTAGTTATATAACCATTGAAGATGAGAGGCCGAGCGCCAAGAGCGAAGACAGCACGAGCGTCCCACAGCCAAGCCCCATACTATACATACGTTATCTCAAACACGAAATGCATTTCATGGCAAGCCCTAAAATTATCCAATAAATAATTAATTAATAACCTACAGGCGTAAGCTACACGAGCTTCAGACATACTATCAGCCACAACACGTGCGTCATCCAGTAGAGCCGCTTTGCGGGCGCGGCCGCGGTCGCATGCGTCTCGTTCTCGAACTCGACTTGGTTCTTGGGCATACTGTGCCCATTGGTTTGAACTTCTTCTATGTGTCCCATCTCAAACTGCGTGGTTTTTGTGTCTCTTCGCTCTCGTAACTTTCGGTCTTCATCAGCTTCGTCTTCATTTTCTTCATATTCTTGCTCAAAGATATCTTCGAATTGTGGTAATTTTTCAGTTACTTCCACTTTTTTACTACCTTGGGCGTTTAGGTCGTGCGCATGTTTTTCGTTGTTGACCAGTTTTAGGAGAGTCGTCTTCGTGTTAACCGCGTCAGCTGGCATCGATTTCTGGGCTTCTTCTACCGGAGGTGGAATTTCCCCCCTGAAGGGACCAAACTGTGGCTTTTTTAAAAGTTGCTGATAGTTAGCAGGTAACTTAGCTGAAAATAATTTAGGTGGGGCTTTGGGACCTTCGGAGACATTCGTTAATGTGGTCAGTGTAGCGGCTGATACTGTTTTACCATCATAAGTAGTGAACGTTTGATCATTCGATGAAGAAAGTTTCTGCGAATGCTCTTTGGGAAATTTTGGATCGGGAGGTAGATAGTGAGGGCTTATTCTGTCCGAGTCCATCATTAAATCACTGGGAACCTCCCTCTCAACGTTTTTCTTGCTAAATAAATCTTCTAACTGAGTGACATTTTTTAAATACACCGGATGTGGCCTATCTTCTTTGGCATGATTAGCTGGAAATACCTCTTTTGTTCTATCGCTACTGGGCAGCAAATGATCAGGGGGTGACGGGATGAACATAGGCTCGAAGGTTTCAGTAACTTTATCACTAGGAGGGTACTGGTGATTGCTTGATTGTATAGATTGCGGCGCTTCTTCGTAGTCTTCGTCGACATCAGTGTCCTCGCGCCGGTTTGTATTTTCTTCAAAACCAGCTATTCTGTCTTCACCAGCCATTAGTGGTTCTCTAATAATAGGTTTGAATCCGCTCTCAACTACAATAGAATCTGGCTTAAACCCTGTGTTCACCGCGGGTGGAATGGTCGACTGGTCAGCAGACTCGCCTATAAAATCGGATGACTGAATTTCATTATGTGATTGCGGCGGATTTTCCTGCCTTTTTGAGTGAGAACTTGGTGGTGTGGACTGATAAAGTACTGGGGCAGTTGTTGACGGCGACCTCATACCTTGTTGTTTGGTTGGAATCATTTGCTGATCTAGAGGCATCGGATTGTCCATGGGTTTCCCAAGTATTATCTGTCCAGGTTTGTTTAAATACGGCTGTACGTTACTGTGCTGAGCTATCGCATCGTTACCCCCCGGTGGTAGCATTATTTGACTTTTGACCACTTGGTTAGCGATTATATCAGTTTGGCCTAAATTCAACGTCTGACTTTGCATCGGCGGTAGCTGAACATTATTAACGGTAGGTTTGCCCATTACTATAGACTGCACCGGACCATTCGGTATTTTTGAAAACATTGGAGGCCCAGGATTTTGTTTGGGCCCCAATGTGTTGTAGTTAGGTTTATTTTGATGTTGTTGAGGCACTGGTTTCATAGGAGTCGCTCCAGGCATGGGAGGAGGTCGGTTCATGTTTGTTGGTAAACGATTCTGATTAAACTTAGGAGGCAGCTTCTTGAGTGGTCCATACGCGCCATGGTGATTAGGCAATGAGAGTGGATAGCCTATATTGCCCTTCTGATAGGGAGGACGGCGAAGTTTGATCTCGGGTGGCACTGGGCGACGGAAAGGAGGTCGGTTTGGCTTTTGTGGTGTCGGCCTTAGTACTGTCTGCAGGGTTAGGGGCTTTTGATTGTTGGCTGGTAGGAAGTAGTTGTTGGGCATCTTGCCGGCCTCGAAGAAGTACTCGTCGTCCTCCCTGTAGGGCTGCTCCGCCACGAAGGGCTGCTCCTGCGCATCCTCGTGCACCTGGTACTGCGAGCGTGTTGCATTTGTCTTCAGGTCATCCTTCATCTTGTTCTCCAGAGTTTCCACAGCTTGTATCACTTCCTTTATTTGTACTTTGGATATTGGCAATTCAGAATACTCCTGTCTTTTTTTGAACGGCGTTTTATCTGTCTCTGGATACACTTCTCCTGTGAGTCCGCCGTCGCTTTTATATCTACTGAAATCGTCATAATTCGGTTTCGTATTGATAATTTTCTGAAGCTTTCTGCGATCATCTAAAAAGTTAGGTTCAGGAGTGAGACGGGTGGGTACCTGCACGGACTCCTCGCCGTGGAGGTCGTCGGGCAGCACGGCGTGCTCCACGACGCGACTCTCGTCGGCCTCGTGCGCCTCGCACTCGTCCACCACGTTAATCTTCCAGCCAAGGTGGCGGTGCGTGAAACACTGTAACAGACAACTGTCTCAACACGTGCAAGGTAGACGAACGTTGCAAGTTCAATAAACTTTCACCGTCCGCTAATATACATTCAGAAGTAATCGAGCTATCTCATGCACAGAGAAGGCTTGGAAGGCTGAAACAGAAAACAGATAGTAAAGATTATGTACATACAGAGAGACAGCCCCTAATACAGAGGCAGACACGTTTCTACGTGGTACTGCAAGGAGCATAGTACCCGACTGGCACGGCACTCCCGGCGCAGCAATGAGTTGCGTTTATTTGGACACGGCCAGTGCGCATGAGTCGTGTGAGAGTTAAGTGAAGAGTAATGTAGAATGAGGTAAGGTGAAGAGTAGAGTTGATGTAGTCGATAGTAGTTGGCGGGTCGGTGTCTGGCCGAACGGTGACCATGGAGTGACAAGTATGAGCTGAGACATTAACATCATCATTATGCACGTTCTACTGGCCATGCAATGTGGGGCGCCAGGTGGGGGAGCACTGACCTGGTAGTAGACAGTGTTGGGGGTGTTCCTGTCAGGGATCCAGGTGACGACACCAGGGTTGCCCTCCTCGCAGACCAGAGTGAGGGACCGCTGGTAGGCTCCGAAGCTGGGGAACTCATCTGCCTCGGGGCCCGCGTTGTCTGGGGTCCAGTTGCACAGGCGGCCCACGCCCGTCGGCATCAGCTCGCCAGTGCGCGTGCGCCGCACCCCTGCGTATATCTCGATGCCCTGGAAATACATTTACAATGTCAACAACACATTTAATGGTCGCAGTCAATTTCAAAGACGCGATCTCTATGGAAGTCGACCGGGAACCGACCTCATGGTCAGATTGAACGAAATAAATAATATTTCTATTTTCTTTAACTGTCTAACTGACGAACAAGTCTTTTTAATTTTTTAATTTTTATATTTGTATTGAAGATGTAAGAAAACTAAATAGTAAAATTAGATTACCTCCTTTTCCTTGTCTGTCTTGTGGAAGTAGCCGCCGACGGGGTCGTTAGTGATGTAGAACGGGTGGTACCTGGCCGGCACGTCTGGGTTCGAACCTCCCTCCACCACGAACGTGTACTTGCGGCCGCGGACCACGTTGATCTCGGGAATCAGCAACCCGTTGATGTACCACGATATGCCCCAGCCCACGTGACCTGACACAACACACGACCGCCATCAAGGCCACGGCAACACAAATATGAATGATGAGAGCCCCATTCGTAGACTCTTATACTTTAGTCGAGCAGCGAGCATGAGATCGTGTTACCGGTGATGGCGGAGTATCCTTGCTTGCCGCCGGTGGGGCCCATCTGCGCGTAGAACACGCCGTCTGGAGGCTCGTAGCACTGGATGGCGGGGATCTCCCACGGCACAGCCTTAGGGACGGGCTTCGGGGGTGGCACCGGGTTCGACTTTATCACCTGCACCTGCGCACGATATAAACGTAGCCAATGATATTTTAGGAAGTCTCAATAATGCCGCAGTGGTTCGGGAATCAGTGTTTCTTTTTTAAATTCATTGTTGACATAGTTTATTTATGGCGTTGAAACAAATTACGTTCACTGGTTGCTGGGAAAACAGCAAATTCATAGGTTGTAGTGAATGACGATGACGTACAGGTTGCGAGGCTGGCTGCGCGGGCTGCGGGGGGCTGTGCTCCTCGCCTTCCTCCGGCATCGGGCAGTTCCACACCGGCGCGCGACCGAACTCTATCAGCTTGTCGCCCTGCGAACACCATCCAACCCAATATTAATAAGGCACAATTCTAAATATATATATTTTTAAACGGTTTTATTTAGCTCGACCAATCCGATGACAATACATTATAGTAATATTAATAACATTGTCAATCTAAGATGGCCGCCGGTACAAAATGGCTGATTGCATATTTTCCTTACCCCTCCTATATGGATAACAAATGCTTTCATTCGTTACCCTTTGGCTACACAAGTAGAATGCTATGACTATTAGGAAAAAAATTAAAATCCAAGATGGACGTTGCTAGAAAATGGCGTATTAAGTGAGGGCATGAAGAGTCTTACTTTTCCAGAACAGAACAGTTGTGTTCTAGATTGTGTGACGTTAGTAGGACAGATTAAAAGGAGGTTTCTAGGTACTTACGTACCTACGTACGTACGTAGTTGAGGAATATTCGGTAGGCATTTTCATTAAATACTAAAAACTAGAACATAAAAAGTCGTTCAAAAATATTTTAATTTATTTGCACTAATAGGTTTTATCTTATGTGCACTGAAAACTAGAAAATAAATAGCAGAATAGCTTTCAGGCACACTAGACTAAAATAAAAACGTATTGATCCTCAATATCATTTGAAACGTAACGTAACGCCGTTTCAGTTCGGCTCAGTTTAAGAAGACGATGCGTCGTGCACTAACCTTGGTGAAGTGCGGGTGGTAGGAGACCTCGTTCCTGGAGTTGAGCGGTCCGATGGCCCAGATGATGGCCTGGCTGCCGTTGGTGAGCACGGCGCGGTCCAGCTCGTCCGCCGCCTTCAGCGAGCGCTGGTACGTCACGATGGAGTACCCGTTCACCAGCGCCGCGTTCAGCAAGCGGATGGAGTTCGTGTTGTCCTGCAACAGAGCGTACACTGTGGCGAGACTGACCAACAGCTCTATGCAGTCTGAGAGTGCACAGCGGTACGTACAACGAGCCTTTCGTCGGGACAGGAGCCGCGCACGCCGGCGCACTGACTCTTGGCGTCCAGGTAGTAGTCCTCGGCGTAGCCCTTCAGCGTGCGCTTGTCCACCCAGGCCACGGTCGGGTCGCCGCCCACCATCTGCGTCTTCTGGTTGTCGCCCGACACGCCAAACGCCATGTACTCGCCGTCCTCTGCGGAGTACCAAACCACGAGCTGATTAGTTATCGTGGGGGTGCGAGCGATGCGTCACTGTACAGGCGCCACTGACCGAGCTTCGCGACCAGCTGCAGCACGATGCTGTCGCCCGCCACCGCCCAGCGCACCTCGAACGCGAGCTCGTCGTATAGAACTTCACAGTTTAGCTTCGACTGCAACAAACAAACAACACCTCTTGCTAATATATTTATATAATCACTCATATCCGTGTGTAAATGTATAGGTAATTAGGTACACAGCTGTATTATCCATAAGGCAAACTGTCTACCGGTTCTTCGGTGCCGCTGTGCATTCACAGCGGCACCGAAGAACCCCAATCGTGGGCGTGGAAGTAGATCTCGTAAAATAAATATATAGAAAATATGAATAATCAGCTAGAGGTGCTTGCCTAGCGCCTGTTAGACCGGGAACGTGGAAACTTTCCAGACATTCTCGATCCTGAGCACACGGACCGTACGCGGTGCCCTCGCGTACGCAGGGTGGTAACATGAAGGACATCATTAGTTCACGGCCGCGTTGGGAGCTAGTGGTTGCCCGGCTGTGTAGCGTCGACCCAACAAGCTGTATAGTTACTGTAGCAAGAAGGCCAGGCAACATTTTCTTCCCAATTGATAAAATAAACCTTTATATTTTATGTACAAATATGAAATTGAGGAAGAATAAATCTTTATGTTCTCGCAATGTTCAAACAAAATAATACATACAATTTAACATCAATGTACACATCAGTGCCAAGTAAGATGAGTGAGGAGCTCGCGCGTTGTATAACTAGTGTCGTTGAACGGCAGCCAGCACGTCTGGCCGAGTCCCCCCCCCCCCACGCAGTGGTTGTGCAATGCAGACAACTTAATGGTTTGACCTGACATCTATTTAATAATTTTGTCAGTTTGAGGCAGCTTAGTAGCTGCAGCTGGTTCTGACTCAGTAAACGGTCGATTTATTAATATTTCCTCACTAACTCAATACTCTTGACTTGACGTGACATTTCTGGGATTTTTGAGGCGCACGCGGGACTCTCTGTATGTGCGACAATTTAAATATGTTGTAACCTACTGACACATAAAGTCCTCAAAAAAGAAGTTTCTATGTTTAGGAAACGAAACAATATTCGATGCAAATGTAATGTGTGCGAGCAAATACAAAGACGATGGCATTCAGGATAGGCGCTTACACAAGCGACGTGAGCAGTTGGCGGGACAGTAAAACAACACTTTATAATGGCAAACGTTTATTACATGTTTCATTTGCATAAAGTATAAAACTAAGTTAATAATGTACAATACAGGACGACGTCTGTTTCACAATAATATCACAGCTAGGAGTGGACGGGCCACGCTCTCACCGCTCCCACACCGCGCCGACTGCCCCGGGCTGCCCCGGGTCCCGGGTGGGCATCGCTCCATTATACTCATTGACTCTATGTAGCGCACGCGGCGGCCTCGCAATATCGTGCTCGTGTTTCACATTCCTCTATCAATACAATGCGTGTACACAAACAGAACCAATTTAATAGTAACGCGTGTGTGTGCGTGCCGTGGGAGTGTTGGGCAAGGCGACGCGACTCTGCTAACTTGTGAGAGAATCAATTGTACGGAGAACAAGCGAACAATGCTTCATTATACCTCATTGTAACGACACTCTGCTATAGCTTCCGAAAATTCTATTCTACAACAATGACACTAGCGCCACATTCTTTGCTGGCACAAGCTATGCAAGGACCGAGACCGCATCGAGGCCGCTGCGGGTGAAGGGAGAGGAGGAGGGCGCGACTCAATTGTTGTAGTGTGTGTACACACAGGTTCTAGGTACGCGCATGCGCATCGATGGATATAAAATGCATAGTGGGCAGCAGCCAGAATCCAGCACGAGCATTGAGTAATAGTACCCGAGTGCAAGATGAGGCGAGACCTCGACCACTCGAGTCCAAGCAACACACGAGGGAGCGGCCTGCGCGTGCGCCGAGGTCGCGTGAAAGGTGAAGATGCGCGGTGTGGGGTGTAGTGGCGAGAGTGTGGCGCAAGTGTTGCGCAACTGTGGCGCGACTGCGAGCGTGGGGGCGGCGCGATGTAGGTCAAGGTCAGTGGGAGCCGGGCTCGCGCTGGCTGAAGTAGATCTGGTCGCTCAGCAGGCGCTGCTGGCGCTGTATCTGCTGCTGGCGCCGCTCCAGCGCGCGCTGCTCCGCCAGCAGGCGCTCGTACTGCTGCTGCTGCTGCTGCAGCTGCTGCAGGTGCTGTAGCGGCGACGCGACGTCCGACGCGGGCTGCCGCCCGGCCCGGCCCGGCTCGTGTTCTTGGGGCCGCTCGTCCGCTGGCTCCAGTGATCCGTCTTCTTTGTACGTATATTCCTTGGAGCTCTGTATGGTGACGAGTTGTTCCGAGGGAGGGGTGTAGGAGTCGGCTCGGCGGTGCAACGGCAGCCGGTCAGCCGGGGACTCGGCAAAGGCAGAGATGACGGGGGCCCCGGGCCGCAGGCGCGCCGGGGGCCGGTACGTGGTAGCGTCGAGGCGCGCGATGGGCCGGCGCGGCCGAGCTGTCGTGGAGCTGCCCGCGCTGCCCGAGCTGCCAGCCAGCGCACTGTTGCGGCTCTGCAACAGGAAAGCTGCGCTCAGCAACTGCGGGAGCGGGACTAGGGACGGGAGGTGGAGTACGCGCGGGATGGGATCACTCTTTAGAGCCATACACTCCTGATGTAATCACGAACAAGACATGTTCCGAAAATGTTCTTAATATATTCACAAGACCTTATACGTTAGGTGAGGAACGTATAAACTGACCGCTGAAAGTGAAAGTAAGTATCAAGTCAGAGTTCCCGAGCGCGTAATATTGTCGTGTGGACGAGTACTGCGACAGTATACAACGCGCACATTATGTACATCTCCCAGTGTTTACATAACGCGCAGTATGTACTGCGCGTCTGAGCGGTCAGAGGTAGCTGCGGCCGGGGTCAATGACCCTTCACTTTCCAAAGCTGCGCGGGCGCAGTGTCCTCGCGCATGCGCACTACGTGCCGAACACATCGCACGGGCTCCGAGTATGATTATAATTATCTCAACATTTATTGATTTGACATTACGCTGTGGAGATAAGGTTGGATTTATGATGTTAATTGGATTTTCGCTTTGACGAGCTTCAAGTCTACGCCCGGATAAATCGACTCATACAAAACGTAAAATTAAGAAATTTAATTGTAAGGAATATCGCAAGACTCTCTGTCGGTCCCGGGACGTTTACATTTACAATCACACGTCGATGACATAATAACTTAATGCGTAGACTCGAACGAACTGGAAGCCTGCAGCGTAGCACAACGCAGCAGCTACGTTGACCTTATTTCAATGATCGCGCGGGAACCGCCTGCTACGCTGCTACGGCGTAGCAACTAGTCGTCTCTTTGTTTCATATTTATAAGCATAGTACTGTTTCCTCAATATTTCGATTTCACATTGATTGATGTTTCATAACATATCGGGGCAAGCGCGGCAGAAGGTACCCACCGACACAGGAGGCGCTGGCTGGCTGCCGGACGTACGTAACGAACCGGGCGACGCGGCGACGGTTACAGACCGCACCATCATTACACAACATCAACTATTCACTTTTTGCAAAGCATCTGCTCGCTGACGAAACATTCCGATTCCAAGTAAATGCCAACTCTATAGCTATCTAAACAAAGTTTCAATTGATTTGTGTCGAGATGTTAAGATTAAGACTCACTTTCGTAATCGCATTGAATTAGATCTTTCATAAGTTTGGCAAACACTCATCTATGCGCCGCCGGTGTCGCAAACTGTGCGCAGGCGCGGCGCATCCTACTTGACACCTCCGACACCAATAGTTCCTCGAGGACGCCGCGGCTGGCCACTACTAGCAGGCGTGATATTAGTGACGCAACACTGTCCTGATACTTGCATACAAACAAAGATGAAATAACAAACTGTGCTACTATTTACAGCATGCAACATTGAGAACTGCACATAGGCGAATAGAGTTTATACAAGCTGTGCTCAGTATACAACACCTGCCACCTGCCTGAAGAACGAAGCACAAAATATTGCAAGTCGATATGTTTGTAATTAGTTCCAATGGGAGGAGCGACCAGTAAGGACACGTTTACAGTCTCCCGCAGCATCCGTGCGGTGAGTCGACGCACCGCGTGTGTGTACTCGCACAGAGATTGTAGTTACCGATGTGTATCGTCATCTGTCACTCGACTTTCTTTCAGTGAAACCGACCGTTCCGAGAAACGCGAGCTCCAGCTACGCGAGCGACGCGAGTGTCGCGGGGACAGCGCCCACCAGCTTGCAGTGACCTACCTGCGGGGACACGCCGAGCATCTTGAGGCTGGGCGGCACGTTGGCGAGCGCGGCGCGGGGCAGCGACACGTGCCCGAAGTTGACGGTGAAGGCCTCGCACCACACCGCGAAGTGCCCGATGTCGAACACCGTCAGCTCCTGGATGTACCACCACACGTCACCATCTACTGTCGCACTCCAAGGGCACATTCATACAGTGTCCATGTTCCGTACGGCGCACGCAATCAATCGTACTAAGCCCATAGGGAGTCGAGGAGCCTGGCGGCATCGGGCAACTAGCCTCCACGAAACTAGTAACACAACTGGGGATCGGGTGCACCGTACGGTCGCAGAAAACTGTTGATAGTAAGGCAAAGCATCGCACCCCGGGCAGTGTGAGCACGATGGTCTTCTTGTCGTACTTGCGCAGTGGCGCCTCCTTGCCGTTCTCGTCGGGGATGCGGATGCCCTGCGGGGACGGCTTGTCGCCGCGACCCACCCAGAACTTGGCATCTGCAACAATACACGTTTATACATCGTCGGCACTCACACGACCACGACTCGGCTTAGTCATTAAAGTACAATATGGCGTCTCTGAAGATAATACACCGAGGGCGTACGTACCGGGCGCCTCGCCGTCGTATGAGAAGTTAGGCACGAGCAACGTCTGAGCATCCACCACCACCACCGGGTCCGAGGATACTCCGTGCACGCCCCGCAGCGGCGCCACCTTGGCAGGCCGCGGGTACTCCATGTCCGCTGGGATCCTCACGTCTCCGAAGTTCACCTGCACAGCATCACGCATCAGTGTTAGTTGTTAGTTAGTTTACATTCTCGGCGCATTCAAGAGTTGCAAGTTGGGCAGGAGCATACTGACCGCATACTCGTCGCAGTAGACGGCGAACCAGCGGTAGTCGCGCAGCGTCTTGCCGTCGGGCAGCGACAGCGTGATGCTGTCCCCGTGGTAGCGGCGCAGGGGCCCGGCGCCGCCGCGCTCGTCCCGCAGCCGCACCGCGCCCGCCACGCCCGCGCTCGGGGACCCGCTCGTACCCACGTAGAAGTACGCCGCTGCACACACGCAAACCTTACCACTAACACGACACGCTACACGGAATGTGCCTTTGCAATTCCATCTCAAATTATCTATCTACAGCGCGATGATATGAGATCATATTTTTGTATTTTGTCTAAGTTGTTACATTTGTTTTGATTGTCAGAGAATCAGAAATAAACAGTAATAATAATATTGTATGATCTTAAACTGCTAAAACTGCTAATACGATGCACCATTATGTTGACGCGTGGTTGTTATTACATTTGGTTGTTAATAGAAGGTCCATGTTCAAAAAAAATTTAAGGGAATGAGGAGACAGCTCCCGTTGAGTAGGGTTGTCGCTCATCGCAATACAAATGCAAACAAAATAAATGACATAAGTTCTGAATAGTGTTTGGCGTCACGCACAAATAAAACGGCCGCTGAAATACATAGGTGCACATACAAGGCCATTCTCTTTCTAGATTAATGAAAATATTATTATTTCTTTAAAACCACTGTATTCGTAGAATATAAAAACAAATAACACAACTTATCACGAAGTTCAATAGATTACGTACGACAGATTGTGCCCAGCTAGAAATATTCATTCTTAACTACAGTTAGGAATTTGTGTCAAATAGAAATACGAAATAGTCATATCGAGGTTTATAAAACATTTCTAATGTTCATATAACTATAGGTAACATAGTCATCTAGCCAGGAGGAACGAACGGATTATCCACGAGCTATTCTGTATTCTGTGGTGCATATCGCATTGAACATTTAAACATAAGTCGACATATAATCTCATATTGTACTCGCAGTGTCGGTAGCGGCTCTAAAGTCACAAATTGGATTTAGTTGACTTTAACACGCTTCGAGAGGTCTGAGACCCAGGTCCTGAGTAAGTGAAGCTATCTTGGTGTTATTTGAACATCTATTGAAGTTGACTTGCGACACAAAAACGTGATATACTAACCGGGGCCCTCGCCGTCGTAGTGCAAGTCCTTGACGTAGAGCGTGCGCGAGTCCACCGCGAACACGCGGCCGCGCACGCCATGCTGCAGCTGCGACAGCGCGCCCAGCTCCTTGCCATAGTAGCGCACCTGTGCGCATGCGCCGCCTGCATGGAAAGTCAACATCACAAAAACTTCATTGTGCGAATAAGTGAACTGTGGAATAACAGATTAGCGGAGCACTTTCTAATTGCGATCATCTGTGCACGACAGCGAGCGCGAGACTCGAGCGGCCGGCACAGGACACGCAGCCACCGGAGCCGGCGGAGTGGCCCTCGGGCCGAGGGAGCGCCGCGCGCCCAAATGTCCACAGCTCGCCTTGTGCTACTTGCACCGGCCTGCAGTCGTGACTCGGCTTGTAGCGCTCACACACACAAACTAGTACTTAAACTCAATCCTTTGCAGCATAGTTGCACGCAGAAACTACAAAACACTAGTAATTACAAGCCATACACACATACACACAGCAGATACGTATTCATCAAACACATGCATCTTGCCATTCAAGCACATCCATCAAAGATTTGGTATCTCTCCAATACGCTCAGAATTATGCCTACAACATCCAACATAGATGGCGCGACAACCGCGAGGCGTGCAGCGTGGCGTCTCTCTACTTTCATAATACTTTTGCCAAATGTCAAACCCAGCCTTCGCTTCCACTAGTTAGTGTCGGCACTAGAACATCGCCATCACTGGCCAATCGAGGAAACCGAAATACTAGTGACTATCACGTGAATGTGATCTTCAGCGGGGTACAGGAGCGCATCATATGTATCCCGCTGGAAAACAATATTAATATGTGATCTTCTCAGAAATACTCTAACGCACTGCAGTGTGATATTTCAGTGAAGGACAGAGTGACCGCGACTGGCCGAGGGAAGCGACGAGGTCACTGACCGCTTCTGTTTCGCAGATTGCTACGGACGTGACGGAATGACGTTATAACGACGTGGGAAGCAGAGGGCAGTATCGCTGTAACCAAACCAGAGGAGCTATCGTCAGCGAAGCCGCTCTATGCGTCGACAGTGAAAGTGTTGCCTGGCAGTGGATCACTCGGCGAGCCGCACCATCACGCCCGCTCGACAGCTGGCACGTCTAGCGATGGCGGTATCCGCGCGCCGCCCCTGCACTGCGTCTGTACAGCTGTGTAGCATTACGTTGATTTATTTGCAATGATGTAGTTTAACTAAACTGCGCGTTTAAGAGAAACTGCGGCGATTACAGAGCGCGTACCGACCACATGTGCCGACTAACATTAGCTGTGTAGAAAGCGGCCTCCCGCCGTCGTCATTACAAGTCTGAGCGCATTTATTGCTGACACCGGGTATGCAGCCGCTGCGCCTGCGCACTGCGGCCGGTGACCAGTCAGCGTCAGTGCACGCCGCACTGCCACAAGCCTCTCCGCCGCCATGTATATGTGTTGCTATAGCATGTTCGGTAGAAGCGCTCGGTTGCTGCAACTAGCACCGCGCTCATATCACTTTCGCTACTGCGGAGGAGCCGGAGATGTGCGGAGAGCGGGGCGCGTGCCGGGGGAGGGACGGACTCCTCTCACTTTCCACACATTTTTGCGCTGAGTATGTTGAACCGAAGAGTAGTACAAGCAACACGGTCACCTATACATACATTTTTTAGAACATGTTAGTGTTACGTGTTTGTATGTCTTGCTCAATTATTTATACTACAGATACAGAAAGAGCTTTAGTTATATTAATACAAGAAGTGAGTATAAAAACACATGTTTGTACTCTACGGATACTGAAACATTGGTTGAATGGATCTTTAAAACTTAGTAGCTTTATCAACATTAATCATATGTCATATCGCCAATTCATCGTCTGTTCATACAAAAGACATCAACGCGCGTACTACGTAAGAATCCCTAGCTTACATAAGATTAATTACTGTAATACTGCGATAGAGAGTTTAAGTCCGCCAAAGCACTCGTTCTTTACCACTGATTGCTAGTTTGATCAGGAAACAGTCAGGTTTCCATTTCGTATACATCATCATTATCGGGAAACCAAAGGAAACCGACCCTACATAGTCTACACATAATACTCGACTAAACATCGACTGCACGATTGGCGCGGTGGCTGGGCAACTAGCTGTCGTGCAACGTGTCGCGGGTTCGATTCCCGCCTGGGACAACTCTTTGTGAGAACTTTTGATCCACAAATTGTTGTTTCGGGTCTGGGTGTCATGTGCATGTGAAATTGTATGTTTGTAACCGCACCCACGATACAGGAGAAAATCCTAGTGTGGGGCACCGTTTTTAATCTAAAAAATATATACACATTATGACACCTCTGGTGGTCGTAAGGTTTATGGCATTATTATAATCACGTTAAGCTCGTGTCAAGCCAATACAACGCGACACAAACTCGCAGCACTGGCAGTAGTGGCAGCAGGCGCAGTCCGCGACACGAGCCACGTGATCGCGCCACTGCGCGGACGCTGAGGCTGCGACACATTCAGTCTCGCGATACTTTCACTTCCTCCGACATCAATCATCGTCAGCGTCATCCGCGCCGAGACCCGCTGAGCGCCAACTGCCGCCAGCGCGATCAGTGTTTGAAATGAGTCATCATTTCGAGAAGCAAAATTACGAGCCATCCCTAGTCTGACGGTGTTTGCTATCTGCTAAACATATTCGGCGCGTTGTTTAATAACAATAGATACTAATACAATTGGCACGCGATTGTCGCTGCAGTCAAATGTAAACGCGGCACAATACACAATGTGCCGACAATAATGACGTAAGAGTCTGCGACTCCGTGACTCTGCTCGACCCGTGGAGCAGGCACGGCTCCACCAGCCTGGCCGCGTCAGCGATCGGCGCGAGATGGACGCGCACATAGTATGTACAGTGCGGTACCACGCAGGTAAGGTGAACAGCAACCGCAACCGATTCACACGGTAATAAACAAAGGAGGCCCTCCCCGAGCTCTGCTGCCATATTACTCGGATAAAGCATAACGTGTGTAATGGCGCGTGGAAACTGTTCCGTGGGAGCCGCGCGTTATGTCATCGCAGACTGAGGCAATACACATGACATGTCACCCACGCTACTACCTCTGTAACAGTGCGGGACTTCTATACCTGCCGCCGGCCTGCCGGCCAGGGACTTCACAGCTGGCACGCGACCACCCACCAAGCTAGGCGAGCTCTCTGGTCTCATGTTATACAGACCGCGAGAGTAGGCCGCCGGGCGACGTCCATTCTGTGTTCAGTTGGAAACAGCGAGGAGTCGCGTGGCGCCACGAGTGTGCTCATGTAGAGCATTCCCCTGCTAGGCTGGGCCACTTGTGTACCGTAGCGTGGTCGCAGGAGACGGGGTGCGAGGGGAGCGCGGCGGGGCGGGGGGGCGGCACCGGTGCGGGTACCGTTGGCACCTGACCCACTGACTGCGAGGAATGCGCTCCGACTACACGGCACGCGTGTACACACAGTAACGGTGCGGACTCGTACTGCCAGCGTGTGCACCTTCTGGTCGGAGCTGCGCTGCCGGGACACTATGGGTTAAGGTCGGGCGGTCGCGCCCTCACTGCCCACTACTTGTGTACGTTGCCATCACATTAGAGACGCCAACATTGCAGTTATGTCTCAATTACTTTGTTGCCATTCTAGGAGCAAACAATTTATTGTTTGTATGCTATTTACAATTTAAATATTTTGTCCAGGGGGCGGCTCGCAGCAAAAAGTTTGTACGCAAAGCCGACCTTTACACTTATACTGAACATTGCATTAGGGGCAGGATCAGTGCCAAACATGCACAAACCGATTATGTTTAATAAAATGACGAGCCTTAATATAAGAACAATATAAACAAAAGCTTTGAGAGCAACAAACACGAGCTGGGCGCAGGTGTCAGGTGTTACACATAAATATTTGGTGTAACAACACAAACATTGGACTACGGCCACAAACCGGTCGCGCCATGGGTCGGCTCGGTCGTGACATACATCTGCACTCCACTGTATTGTGGCGAGGCGCCGGCGCCGGCAAATGTCAAGGTTCAATCAAACGTTCACAAACCTGACTCGACCCCACACCGCCTACATTCATGGGAAACTTTGACTCGTGAGTCTACACACGCACTGCCCGGCCAGGCAGCACCGACAGCACCGACCTACGGACAATGCCCACACTACCACCACGACATCTCACAGCACGCACCCTCCGTCAGGCTGTAGCGTCCTGTCTAGACATCAAGATGTTCCAAACCGGCTGGTCGACTCGAGACCGCGGGACCTGGCAGTAACAAACGATGTACTTGATGCGGCTGGCGCTCACGTACCCTCCCTCACCCTGGCTACACGAGAGAAAGCCTCAAAAGTGTAAAAGTAACGTACGGGGCTCGCGTCCCAGCCGGGGATGCGGGATAAGCGCAATGAGGCACCGCGAGCTCGGCCCAGAGCAGGAGAAGGAACAGAGGGATTTTAGTCAGTAAGAGTCTGACACTCCCGCCCATATTGGGTGGGAGAAGTAATTTGATGATTTTCCCCTCACAAAAAAGGCGCGCGTCCTGCGTTTCAGGCTCTGCGCGCTGGTTACGTAACGTAGCGCTACCCGACGAACATTACTTAAATATAGTAATCGAAGAAATGCATTATAATTAATAATAGTTCGGTAACGTGGCGGCGGCGGGTCAGCAGGCGCCAGGCGCCGCGCAAATGTCACCCGATGCTAATGAGGGCGCTCCTACATACAAACATGTACACACGTACGGCCGGCAACTGCTGACGCTCTGCATCGACTCCACCACATTATAACACACTACAACTTGTGAGCGGCAGCGACATCAGATGGGAACATGGGCCGGTTAGTTCAGGTCAGGCAGATAATCACGGAAGCATTAACGCACTACATGTGCGTAGAAAGTTATTTGGAGCCCACGGTTACTCTCCTCTACTAAGAAAAACAACTTTTACACCTCGTCAAGTGAAAGGTTCCCCATAAGCGGACACACTCGTGACTGATGATGTCCCGCGGTCGACCTCTACGATCTGATCACGTCAACCCATTGGACACAGACACTGAAATTCGACAGACAAGTTTGTATGGTATCTGCTGCTGGGTCACCAGGCGCCAGCGCGCGCTGTGCCACCGACAGCTCGCCCTAGTACTCCGGCGCTAACTGCTCACACCATGTCTGTGCTGGGAGCTCACGGGACGGTGCTGCGCAACTGACTAACATTTGCAATAAATTATTGCTCCAAATTAAACGTAGACCATTCAATTGGAAGCCCCCATCTAAAGTGGGTCATAGCTTTCTGTATAACCAGGCAGTTTACTGTGCGCTGCTTGCATTATTGGAGCTGCACCAGCTGCCACCGATACTGAACCACTCACACAATACACCCATGCAGCACCTCGCTCCCCACAAACCCTGGTATCATCTACTATTACTGACGTACGTCGGCCAGCCCCCGGGTAACCACATACTAAGCATTTCCTATTAATGTATTTTGTGATCGCTGGCTGCAGAGATGAAAGTCATACATAATTATAGTAAGATGTAGAATGCAGGAGTCCCATGCCGGGGCAGGTCGCGTGCGGAGTACTCACCGAGGAGCAGCAGCGCGATGGCCGCCGCGGGGGTCATCGCGGCGACACTGTCGGGAACACGAGCACTAGTGTAGATCGGTGCGCGAGAGCGAGGGTCGCGCGTGTGTGCCTCGCGACTGCCGTGCGGTTACTGGTCGCGCGCGCGCTCTGCCTCCACTTTTGTTTGTCGCTCGGCGCGCGTTGAGCAAGCTGCCACCGCGCCTACACGCCGGCTGCCGCTGCTGCAGCCCTCTAGGCTGGAACTCAAACTCTGTCACACCACATTTACATTACATTGAGGTACCTACATCTATTGAATGTTTGCAGAGTAAAGTATTAAAAACACACAGATTACAGCCGCACGTTATACGATATTAGGGCTGTCAATACTGCGTTACAATACAACCCACCAAAGAAAAAACAATGACAATGCCGATGACTGTTGCACTTTTTGACTTCGCGCGCTCAGGGCTGAGCAAGAGGATTGTTCTGACTCTACTTTCGATCAATAATAGTACCGATTTATCAAAATGTATCGAACATAAAATCGAATTTTTATATGGCTTGTATAATTCTTCTCCTCTTCCGTTCGCGACAATAGAAACCCATTCTACACAGCGAAATAGGTCGCTAGGAAATCTACAATCAAAATTTTATTAAAAAAACATAAAATAACAATACTACTCCATGCATTTTCAGAACATTCGATGTTTGTTACATTAGTTGGCGCGTTGTATCAAACATTGGTCAAACAATCATAATATTTGCTATAAGAGTTATATTTACTATTTAATTAATTCAGTTTTTATATTCTGATCAGGACATATTGATATAAACTTACCGAAAAAAGATATTCATTCAAAAATCTTGGTGTTACGGTGATTATTTACACAATTTTTGAACGCGCATTGCGGTATTTTGGCGTCTTAACGTTGGCTATGATTGGATCAAACTAAATTGACTTTGAAATTTTTCGGGCCTTTTTTGAAGCGCTCATCGGGAATCTAGCACTATTATTGATCGAAAGACTCTACTCCTATTTATTTCTTTCTCTCTCGAGCCGTGCGCGGTAAGTAGATGCATGATTGCTCTTGCATCTGCACGAGCACACAGAACTAGACGCCTTAGGTCATAAAGACCAGTAATATAGCAAATCTGACATTTATAACCAAATGCATTTCAGTCAATCTGTATACCTCATTTGTTATTTCCGATCCGCAAAACGGTACATCATAAACAAACAACACTTCAGAAGTGGCCACATACCTAAAATCTAATTTGAAACCAACCACAGCCCAGCACTACAGCAGGTGCCCCGAACAAAAATATAGAGTTGAATCTGCTTTGCAGAATCATCACGGTGTTTTTTTTTTATTTTAATTTCTGCACTGTGGTCCACAAACTCATTTTTATTTATGTACTAGCGGCCCGCCCCCGCTTCGCACGGGTCCAACTATCTCGCTATCAAAGGGTCACCTTTTCCTAATCTTGTCCTCTACTTTTCTAATATTTTCTTTGATAACAGCCTTCTCCAGACTATAACAAACACAACAAAAAAAGAATTAGCAAAATCGGTCCAGGCGTTGTTGAGTTATGCGCTTACCAACACATTTTGCGATCCATTTTTATATATAAGATAAATCAAATGTTGATGTTTCCTACCACTGTGGAAAGATTATAGCTTTGGTTGTGTCGCATAGTTTTTCCAAAAGCCACTGCGAGCCCAAGTCTTGTGTTAGTAAATTCCACTATACGTGTAGGTACATGTATGACAGTCTGGAACTGAAGGCTACACTTTTTTTGCAATTATCCACAATACTAAAATGTTTCACGAAAAGAAATTCAAATCTATTCAATCCTAAGCATCCCAAGATATCTGTGTGTCATATAAAGGGTACCTTATCCGGTCAACAATTACAAAATGTACTTTCGGTGAGAAATAACAAAATCTCCAAACAAGCTAATTTTTTACGCCATTACAAATATACTGACAAAAGTTATCTCATGACGCAAAGGCAGCCGCGTCTCAATCTCTAAATCTAGATGACGGGACACATTGATGCCATGATACGACTGATGACAACAATCTTTGGATTACGATCGGTTCTTGATTTCAGCCGTTCGATATCCCCTAAACTACATAATTAAATCTAAAAGAAAATTTATTGGATATATTGTTTTATTATCAAATAATATTGTACTACGGGTTCAAAAACTTAAGATGTCAACGATACTTAAGTGTGTTGATTTAATATATCGTATCTAAAGTATTGGGTTGTTTTGTTATTAGGAACAATAAAAATAATGTGTGTATAATATTGTCCATTATCGGAGTGACAAGCTACGTTTCTTTCATTCCGGCCAGTAGGTGCGCCTAGCATCAAACTTACAGCAACACACAGAAATAATATTCAAAGTATTGAACGACGTTTTGTTTACTAATAAACTCTGCAACTAACATATTTAGTTTACTATTGTCGTTTCAATAAAATATTGCACTAAATTTTATTATTAAGTATTATATACAATAAAAATCAAGGATCAAGCAAAATAGTAGTTGAAACTTCTACAATGTTAATATTGTACGTCACCACGTCAATGAAACGAGAACAAAAAGTGAAAGTTTGTGAAGAAACATTCCGATTGGTTAGTACTGCTTGAGGCTACGCGCCACCAATAGAACGTCGTCCTTGAACACGTTTTGATATGTGAGAACGAATTTAAGGCAGTGATTTGTCAAGTTGACTTACCGGAAGCGCGAATATACTTACAATGTTGTGGCTTAAAAGTTTGTAGATAGGTGTTAAAGTTCTTTTATTTAATTTAAGTAAATGAAGTGAGTGTAAGATGATTAAAATATGTCTCCTGCTTCTTATAGCAGTCACGAGAGGTAAAGTCATGCGTCTTAAAAGTGTTTTGTTAGTGCATGTGTGAAAACTTTCTAACGACAATGCTGTATTTTTGCAGACTGTGTGTCGCAGGACGAGGACGAGCCGTATCGTGGCAAGTTGATCGGAAAACTAAACTCCTACCATCATCAGGTGCGTATGTAGCTCACTAGCTCCTTAGTACACGGAGTTTGTGTTTCAAATAAGTATTACTGCACACTTAATAGTTATTCGAATGAAAGTGCGAACTGCAAATTTGAAACAATTGGGTCAGCGAGTACCCTCAGTAAAAATACCAGAGCACGGTCCCAAAATATAGTACCTCATGATACAGAAGGGGCCAGACTTGGCCCATCTGGCAACATATTTGCATACATTGCCTATTTGTTTCAGGTGTCCGGTGAAGTTTATGCTGTTGATGACTATACTATACTTTTGGTCAATTTCAACTATGATGGCACCGGGGATGACACATTTTTCTGGGCTGGAGATTCAGGCAGGCCCGGTCCACAAGGTTTCATTGTTCCTAATGAGTATGGCAGGTCAGTGTGCCAAGATATAAATTACATATATTATTATTATTTGTATGCCGGCTTTGTATGCACTACTCATGGTGACTTTCATTATACTTGAGCCTGGGAATCCTGGGCTCATGCAGGCACAATGGCCAATTCAAAATAAGTGTTTTGGTTTGAGATTTCATGTGTATACCACTTGGTTTTTGAACATTAACTTTAGACTCATTGTGTAACAATTTACTACAATTTTATTTTGATAGCTTTTGTAACCCAATTTCAGTCTGAAAACCAATTTTAATGTAACTTGTTTATCATAAGGTAAATTATGTCAAGGTATATATAGTTAGCATGGAATATTTTCATATTAAGAAAAATTTAGAAAATAACAACAGCTGGGTTACTGTGCATAATTTATTACAATACTTACACTCATTCTTTTCAAATTTTGTAATTCATACTTTACCTACATGTATGTACCATGTACACATGATTATTATGAAATTCAATTATGAGATAATACTTTACTCAGTCTATGAATAAGTAAATAAATGTGTAATATTTTTTTTAGCTTAATAGCAAAAGAAGAGAAACTTCCAAAGTGGATAAATGTATTCCCCTCCCCCTCAATTTGTAAAATAAAAAGTTGATAAAGCTAAAAAACATACCATTACATAAATACCATGTACATGTATAATGAAAATAAAACCTTATAAGTATGGAAAAAAGTTACTTTGGCTATCATTCTTAGGAACTAGATATGCATGTGACTTCAAACAATAGTTAAAATTGCTTCCGATGTTTTCGTAAATTTTGGCTGAAAAGTGAGTGAAAAGCCGTGTATACTGAGTAAAAATGTCTTAGTACTTGTTCCTGTAGTTGTCAATGTACTCGCGTTTGCAGGACAAATATTCTGGAACGTTACTACAATGCAGAGGTGAGGCTCGCCGTGCCCGAGGGCAAGCGCATCTCCCGCATCAAGTGGTTCGCAGTGTACGACATCGGCAGTCAGAACGCCTTCGGGGACGTGTACGTGCCGGACGAGTTCGAGGCCCCGGCCGAGCGCGTCATCGGGCCCCTCACTGGCTCGCCCGCCGTCTCCAGCAAGCCAGTGCGCCTGCTGGACGCCAGCACCATACTGTACGCTCACTCCGCGCCTCCTTGTTACGTGTCTCGTCGCTCTCTGGGAGATCTAAAGTAATCCAACCCCTGCAGGATCCCGGAGCTGCGGTACGACGGCAGCGGCGAGGAGGTGTACTTCTGGGTGGGGGTGGGGCCGCAGCCCTCCTCCAAAGGCACGCCGATACCCGACGAATACGGCTAGTGAGTAGCACGTAGTAGGTGAGTAGGTAGGCGCGGGCGGACGTACAGAGCGCGTGTTGCAGCCTGGAGCCGCTGCGGCGCTACGCGGGCGAGGACGTGCGGCTGGCGCTGGGCGCGCGGCGCGCCTGGGACGTGGCCTGGCTGGCGCTGTGGGACCGCGGCGCGGGCCGCGCGCTGGCCGCCGTGCTGCTGCCCGACGCGCCCAACGTGCCGCCCGCGCCGCGCCGCGCCGCGCCCTACGCCGCGCGACTGCCGCACTGCCGCCAGCTGCACCGCGACCTGCAGGTGTCCTGGGAGGTCTTCGGCAGCCAGATCACGCTCGAGGTGGCGGCGCGCATGGACGAGGACGAGTACGCCGCCTTCGGCGTGTCGGGCAGCGCGGACGCGTCGCGCATGCTGGGCGCCGACGTGGCCGTGCTGCAGTACGACGCGGCGCAGCAGCGCGGGCTGGCGGCCGACTACAACGTGTCGGCGGCGGCGCCCTGCGTGCAGGTGCTGGGCGCCTGGCGCGGCGTCTGCGCCGACGCGCTGCTGGGCGGCCTGGACTCCAACCAGGTGTTCAGCGCGCGCCGCGAGGACGGCCTCACCATCATCTCCTACCGGCGCTCGCTGGCCGCGGCCGAGCCCATGGACCGCGACTGGCCGCTGGACCGGCCCGTGTACGTGGTGTGGGCGCTGGGCCGCCTGGACGCCGCCAGGGAGCCCGCCTTCCACCGCCTGTACCCGCGCCACGACGTCGCCCTGCGACTGGCGCAGGACCCGCCCGACAACGACTGCGTACCCTTCACCGTGTCAGTACTACCCTCACAACACCCGCTGACTAATCACCAACCTTGTATGGCCACATCGCCAAATTGCTAAAGTTATTTCGAAGTGAGTACTTTGTAATATACTGCAATGTGGGTGCAGTGAGTCCCGCTCGGCGCCGCCGGCGTGGGAGGTGGCCGAGCTGTTCGATCCCGCGCTGCGCGTGTTCACGTTCCGGCTGGGGCCCGCCGGGGGCGCGCGGGGGCTGGCGGGCCGGCCCCTGCGCCACTCGCCGCCCCTCGCCTGGTACGTCAACGGCCAGCTAGCGCCCGACCTGCAGCTGCGCCGAGGCCTGCAGTATGTCTTTAAGGTACGTTCCTCTTTACATCCAAACTCGCCACGTCACTGCGGGTGTATAGTGGAGATGCAATGCTCGCAGGTGTACGGCGGGAACGACCCGCACTCAGCGACGGAGTACCACCCGCTCATAGTGACGGCGGAGCCCCTCGGCGGCCTCGAGCGGCTCAGCGAGCCCGCGCAGCGCCAGGCGCGCGTCTTGGCCGGCGTGCACTACACGCGCCGCGGCCGGCTCGCCCCCACCGCCGGTACGTAGCGGCCCCTGTATGCCCCGGCCTGGCCCGGCGGGGGCTAAACTGTAGCGGCCTGGCCCGGCGGAGGCTACATTGCGTGTGTTGCAGCGGGCCCGCTGTGCGTGGCGCGGCACCCGGCGGGCGCGGACCGGCGCCGCGACGACGACTTCGCCACGTTCCGCGCCTTCAACCGCACGCTGCAGTGGCAGTGCGCGGCCGAGCCCCCCGCCGACCTGCTGGTGGCGCCCAACTCCTCGTGGCCCGACCGCGTCTACTACCAGTCCTTCACGCACGCCGGCATGGGCGGCCGCATCTACGTCGTCGACAAGCACCGCCGCAACATCGGCCGCGCCGGCGCCGCCTCGCCCGGGCCCGCTGCCGCGCCGCTCGCTCTGCTGGCCGCGCTAAACATCGCCGTGGTTCTGTACACGATGAACTGACGGAGGAAAATAAAAGTCTCGTACGTGTCGATACCAAGCTTTATAGTTCTATCACTCTAAATTATTCGGATCACAGTAGAGGCGGGCGCTAGGCGCGGTGCAGGTCCAGGAAGTCCATGAGCGTGGCGGGCAGCGCGCCGGGCGGCAGCGGGCGGCGCGAGCGCAGCAGGGCGCGCGCCGCCAGGCACGCCAGCGACACGTACTGCAGCACGCACACGCGCGAGCTGCGGTTGAGCGCGACCAGGTCGGCGGGCGAGTCGCCGAACTTGTTGGGCTGGTCCAGGTGCGCCCCGCCCGCCAGCAACACGTGCACCAGCTCGCTGCTGAAGTTGTACGGGATGGCGGCCACGTGCAGCGGCGTCGAGCGCGCCTCGTTGCGCACGCGCACGTCCGCGCCGCACGCCAGCAGCAGGCGCACCACGCCGGCGTGCGGGAACACGGCGGCCGCGTCCGGCTCGTCCGCGAAGTACGTGGAGCGCACCACGTTGAGGCGCGACACGCACAGGTGCAGCAGCGTGTCGCCCGTGGCCGCCGAGCGCACGTCGGCCGCCAGCAGGCCGCGCACGGCCGCCCGCGCCGCGCGCCGCTCGGCCGGCGACGCGGCGCGCGCCTGCAGCAGGAACACGCCGTGCGCGGCGCAGCGCAGCGCGCGGTCGAAGGTGTCGGCCTGCGCGCGGCACACGGGGCGCGCGCCCAGCAGGCGGCGGCAGGCCGGCAGCTCGTCCGCCAGCAGCCGGAACACGCGCAGCACGTCGCCGAAGTGCGGCAGGCCGCGCGCGCGCTCCAGGCGCCCGCCCGCCGCGTCCAGCATCAGCCGCGTCAGCGCGCACGCCGTGTGGCACGTGTCTGCAACGCACGCCCGTCTCACTCGCACACATCACATGCTATTTCATCCAAACAATCCCGGGCGCCACTCAAACGTATACAAAAAAATACAATAAAATCGGTCAAGCCGTTTAGGACTTCAATAACATACACACGTACAGCAGAATTATATATATAAAAAAGATAAATGAGTATAGATTGTAACTGCAATAATTGTTAATAAAAGAACGTTGAATTAAAGAGATCTATGAAAACTTTTAATTAAAAGGATCTTTAAACTGTAACCTGTGTTTATTGACAATCCCGAGTTATTACGATATTTGCAAAAACCGGCTGCAATCTGACAAATCCTGAGATATGGTGACTACACCGTGATGACACTGCGCATACGGTGGCTGTGTTGTGTGCCCTGCTTGAACACGCGACGCGGCGACTGTCGCGGAACGCTGTTCATGAATATGGGCCTCTAGCATGGTTTGAAACTAGTCGAGTGTCGCGTCAAAACAATTACGCGAGTAAGCCGAAAACCTACTACTAAGCTAATAACGATGCTCGCTAGAAGGAACAGAGAGCGTGAGGAAACTATGTTCCACACGCCTCAGTCGCCATAGCAACTACGGGAGGGGATAGGACAGAAAAGCCAGGGCTCACCTGACGACAGCAGCGAGTCCTTCTCGATGCGCAGCTGCAGCGCCCAGGTCCAGAGGTCGATGCAGCGCTGGTAGCGGAAGGCGTCGGCGTAGGAGGCGCCGCGGTACATGAGGCGGAAGACGGTGTCCTTGTGGTCGGGGCCCAGCACGCGCGCCACGACCAGCAGCGACTGCGTGCGCAGCGCGTCCATGTCGGTGGCGGCCGCGTCCAGCTCGGCCGACGAGCGCCACTCGCGCGCGCCGCCCAGCGCCGCCGCCGGCGCCCGCACGGGCCGCTTGGGGATGTAGGCGCCGCCGCCGTGCCGGATGGCCGTGGCGCGCCGCCACGCCGCCAGCGCCGCCGTCACGTCGTTGAACTCGTCCAGCTGCGTGCTGCCCAGCAGCTCGTAGGCGTCCGCCATGCGCGCCGCCGAGTAGCGCACGCGGCTCGCCAGCAGGCTCACGATCTGCGCCGCGCCCTTGAGGCAGGCCGTGCGCAGCGCGTCGTCGCCGGCGCGCGACGCCAGCAGCGGGTCGGCGCCGTGGTCCAGCAGAAGGCGCGCCGTCTCCACGCGGTGCTCCTGGATGGCGTAGTGCAGCACGGTCTTGAGCTGGGTGTCGCGAGCGTTGACGGCGGCGCCGTGCTCCAGCAGGAAGGCGCACAGGCGCACGGACTGCACGCTGTTGATGAGGCACGTGCCGCCGTTGTGGTTGGGCCGGTGGATGTCGGCGCCGCGCGCCACCAGGAAGCGCACCACGTCCAGGTGCGTCATGAAGCAGGCCGAGCGCACGGGCGTGGAGCCCGAGTCGGAGCCGGCGTCCAGGTCGGCGCCCGCGTCGGCCAGCACGCGCAGGACGTCGAGGCGGCCGGCCACGGCGGCGGCCCACAGCGGCGTCACCGAGTGCACGGACCGGTCGTCGGCCACCTCGTACACGCCGCGCTGCTCCAGCTCGGCGGCGCAGACGTGCACCAGGTACTCCACGATCTCCACGTTCCCGCGCCGGCACGCCACGAACAGCGGCGCGCACCCGTCCAGCTTGCGCGAGCAAAGCGCGCGACGCTCCTCCGGGCTCATACTGCACACGCCAAATATTATTCATGGAAACATGTGTCATTACGTAGTAAATGCTGCTTTGTTGGACAGAAATAATTATGTGTTTTTTATTTGCTTTTCCTACTATCAAGGTGAGTGAATCTAACAAATAAATACAAAACATATTAAAGTTTTGAACAATGAAAATATTGATGTCAATGATTCAAGTTGTTTTGGTGAAAAACTGGATGCCATTTTGACAAAATAGTTGTTACGACTTAGCTGAACAACTAGGAATTGACCACAATCTTGGCACATTTGAAAAAAACTAGGCACACAAAAGAGCTTGTTATTTAGGTACCTCACAAACTCATTGAACAAAACTTAATGGACCGTGTACTAATTTGTGATTCTTTATCATGTCGTAATGAAACAAAAAGCTATTTTTGAAGAAACTGATAACTGGTATGATACCTGGACCACAACAAGAGCGTGTGAAAAAGGTGATGTATCCATGGCTGTGCAGGCTTGCTGGCAGGTTAACTGGCAACAAGGTGATGCTGTATATGTGGTGGGATTGGAAGGGCATTATTCATACGAGCTGTTACCACAAATGGTGAGAACTTAAATATTTTGCATCAAAACATAAAATATTCAGTATTTACTTGTCACAGATCTGTCAGACCAAACGGTAGAGATTTAGGTGCTGTGTTAGTGTGATGTTTTCTGCAGCCTGTACTTTTTTATCATCTTATTATAAATCCTTGAAGCCATTTCATTTTGCTATTTTGTTAACTACCAACTGGATTAAAAGCTACAAATTTTATTATTTCCCTTTTTCCCTATTTCCTTTTCAGCAACTGACAATCTTAATAGTCTGTATTGTCATTTTATATGGGTTGGCATCAACATTTTACAGTTTCTGAACTACTTGTAATTTCCCTGGCTGGCAGATGCTGTATTTGCACTTATTTTAATTTATAAAGTCTTCCTACACCACCATTATAGGAGTTTCCTAATTCAACAGTTAGGCATAAAGTACACACATTTAAAGTTTGAAATAAAATAAAAGGTGCTCTAGATCACTGGATGTATTCACACAAGTGAAGGTAGTAAACTGATAAATAAATATTTAAAATTGTAAGACCCATTTTATTGCTAGCTTTGTTGTAGGCTATTGTTTTAACCTTCATGAATGGCCAAAAGGCTTGTTTAAGCATAATTTGGTTTTCTCCCATACATACCATGAAGAAACGAAAGTAAGGTTCTTAATACTTCAGGCCAAGGCTGAATATTTGTGTGTCAATGGAAATTCACGACTAGTTGAAGGGCCCAGACATTCAACAGCCAGCGAGTACCATTAAGTTCATACGTAAGCAGGTAGTAAAGGGCAACGTACCGCTCGAGCGCCGTGCGCAACTTGGCGGAGAGCCTGGCGCCGGGCGCGCTGTGGCGGCACTCCTGCATGAGGTCGTGGAACAGCGCGTCGTGCTGGCGCGCCGCGTCGCCCGCCTTGCTGGCGCCCGCCTTGCTGGCGCCCGCGCGGCTACTGCCGGCGCCCTGCTGTTCCCACATCGCGCCCGTCGCCCGCCCCGGTCACACAGCTTTGGCCAATTTCACTTGGCTCCCACGACAATAACAAACAAACACTCTTTCGATTTACCTAAATTCAACACTGACGTTACTTATTGTGAGGTTTGTTTTGTTTTTCTGCGTAGCATTGTCCATAACGCAATTTTTTTGCGATTTTGCACTTCATTTGACATTTTGACATCGACAAAGTATTTTGTGTTATGACAGACAAAATGAATGACATTGATGTTATTGACAACCCAGTAGACGACAGATGTGTCAGAGACGCTATTTGACATAGGTAGGAAATATTTTCTATCTCAATGGAGACGCTTCATCCATTGAGGAATGAAACTTTTTTTATGGTATAAGTCGACAAACGAGCATACGGATTACCTGATGGTAAGCAATCGGCGTCGCCCATGGACACCCGCAACACCACAGGAGTTACGAGTGCGTTGCCGACCTTTTGGGGATAGGGGTTGCGGATATATCATTGAGATAGAAAATGTAGAGAGGCGCCGTGTTATTTTAGAAGTTTAAATGCTTAGGTATACAAATATGAGTGAAATATGAAACAAACTATGAAACATCGTTTTTTCTCACTCTTTCTAAGGCAATAACTGTATTAGACAAAAGGGACAACAATATTTAAGTTGTTGCTTATTATGGCAACAAATCATTTTGACATTAGCAAAGTTGTAGGTAAGTGCCATGTCCGCCATCTTAAGCGCTCAGAGTACCTGAGTTTCATGTTATTGCGGTTTTCCAGTAAATTACAATGAACCATTTTTTTAAACTTCAAATATATATAGTGAAACAAAAATACAATATGCCTGTGTGTTGTATTGTGCAGTGTGGTGCAAAAAAGAACGAAAATCAACCTAAATTGTCTTTGCATAGGTTAGTAAACAGTTTTCATCAAATATTACTTAGAATAATCCACATAGATAGAAAAAAATGTTACGGATACTTGAATCTATTGCCAAAGTATATATATTTACTTCTATTTCTGTCTGTGAGACAGTTTTATTTCACCATTCCATTAAACGCTGTTCATAAACACAGTCCTATTTTTTTTAAGAGACGCTTTCCGTAGTATTATATGAATACAAATTCGACTTGAGAAAATCATTAGCCAATCAAGAGACCTAGGTAACCCCGGGTTCCGGGCTCTAGCTAGGCCGACGGCAAAGTAGGAACAGGACTTGATTTTAGTCAGTAACGGTCTGTCACGAAAAGGGCCAGAGATGACATTAGATGATTTCCCATAAAAAATACCGTTAATCAGCTGGCTAATCCCTAAAACTATACCTACGTAGAACTTATACTCAAATTGTATCGATACTCGTTAAATACTTAGTCGGCACAACCCTAGCAACGGCAGCCATCTTATGCGAAATTTTGGATTGTACGTAGGCACCTTTTTTTCGTAGGTATTTCAAGTCCATATATTTCCTATGTCAATGGGATATATGGATTGGGAAGGGGAGGGATTGGGCCTCCGGTAACCTCACTCACACGGCGAAACACAACGCTGTGGATTGTTTCACGCCGGTATTCTGTGAGGCCGTGGTATCACTCCGATGACCCATTCGTGCCGAAGCTTGGCTCTTTTTGAACTTGGAACTTTTCTGGCCTTAGACTAAAACTTCATCAAAACCTTTAGATATTGTAGTTATTTATACACTTACACACCATACCGTAAGAAATTAATTCCTCTATGTAATATGTTCCTTGGTTTTAGGGTGGGTGTTGGTGGATGGTCGCAGCATGGATCCAAGAAAAGTACTGGCCAGGATAATAAATTAATATTTTAAGTTCAGGGTAATAGGGTATTTGCTTGTACTTGTGATCTTTTGTGTATGTTTGTCGCTCTAGAACGCCTCCATAAATGTCTGTATAAAACTGAAACCAATAAGCTTGTGACGCGACACTACATAACATTGTATCTCGGCTATACGCCAGAAATATTTTGCTATGTTTATTAACATTATTCTGTTTATAGAATGTTCCGATAAAATATAATTAAAACGTACACAAGGCCGCGATCAGCAGTAGTTCAATCCTATCTCTGACTATATAATTTATTAATCTGTGTTCCGTATTTACATCATTGAGATAGAGACTTTTTGGCGGGAGTTCAAATATAGCGCATGAAAAGTTTTTTCATTTGTGAATTTTTTTGAATCTAATATTTTATTTCATTGTAAATAGTAAAGTGTACATAATAGTGTATTAAACATGGATGTTGGCGAGGGCGGGGGCCCAAAACCCCCGGCCCCAAAAAAACATAAACTTAAAGACTTGGACGATGGCGGCGGGGGTAAGGAAAGTGATTTTTTACCCTATCTAAAACCCGGATACAAAAGACTTTATCCAGAAAATTCTTCAAATTTGGAGTTCAAAGTTTACGTGCAGGGTGAAAAAATTGGCAATAAAAGTCCAACCTTTTTAAATCATATATTTGTAAATGAGGTAAAAGGTGTAGTAGCGATTCGTAGAATCAATGCTAACAAGATTGCGGTGGTGTTCAAGCAGTATAATACTGCTAATAATTTTATAAGTAACTCTTCATTTCTGGAGAAGTACAACTTTAAGGCGTTCATACCAGCGGCAGACATAGAAAGAACAGGAATTATCCGATACGTACCCACAAACTTATCTAACAAGGAGCTTTACTCAAAGCTAGAGTCGGAGTATGAAATAATTGCAGTCCGACGATTCACCAAAAAGGTTGGACAAGAACGGGTACCACTTCATACAGTGAGCATTACCTTTCTGTCCAGTTCTTTACCACAAAATGTACAATATGACTACAGTATTCTCTTACCGCATTTTTGACTATATCCCTCCTCTACAACAATGTTACCGTTGCTTCAAATTTAACCACTCAGCCAAAATATGTAATGGCAAACAAAAATGTAGCATTTGTGCTGGGGACCACTCATATAGAGAGTGTGATAACCCCTCAGCAATCTGCTGTGCTAATTGCGGTGGACCACATTTAGCAATTTCAAAGGCATGCGAAATCAAGTTAAAAAAGATAATGGAAAAAAAGGAACGTATTACTTACGCTAGTAAGGCTGAAACTAAACTTAATGTGACTCAGGGAGATTTCCCACCATTGCGCAAACCAAGACCTCAGGTCAATGTAAATAAAAATTCTGTTGTAAATAAAAATGTAAATTCTGCACCTATAAATAATGTACCTGTAAATACTGAACCTAAAATAATTTCTGTTGCTGATGTCAAGGCTCAACTCCTGGCAAATAATGACTTACTTAAGGCCATTGTTCGCACACTCATTGTAATCGCCAATAAGGGCAAGGATGATCCTCCAATCAATACAACAACTATTAAAGATATTCTACTGGAGAATCTTACATAATGGACAGAGACTCCAATATACAATCTCAGCTATGCATTGCTCAGTTTAATATACAAAGTGTATACAGTAAAAAGCCCTTACTCTTAAAGTTTCTTAATGATAAAAATATTGATATTTGCCTTTTAAATGAAACGTGGATTAAAGATAACAAACCTTTCCACATTCCTGAATATAATATACATTTCAAAAATGCAGCTAATGAACATGGGGGAATAGCTATCCTCATAAAACATAATTTAAAGTATACAACTTTACAAACCACATTTTATGAAGATGTACAAACTGTTGCAATTTCTCTTTCTACAGAGTTAGGTGACTTATCTATTTTGACTGTGTATTGTCCACCACACAGTGGCCATACTAGATTAAACAAATTGAGAAATATCATAAAAGAACTGCCCAAGCCAGTGTTCATTTCAGGAGACTTTAATGCTCATCATATTGCTTTTGGCTGTGTAAGCACCAAGGGCAGAGGGCAGCAACTATATGATATAATTGATGAGTTGGATCTATGCTTGTTGAATGATGGCAGTTTCACAACAAATAATCGGCCTAATTGTAACCCATCAGCTATTGATATCACTTTTACAAGTGCAGTTTTAGCACCACTGTGTGATTGGACTGTACATGATGACAGTATGGGTAGTTATCATTTCCCTACAATTACAAATCTTACTTTAGCTGTTAATAAATATCAAACAAATCCTCCAATAGAGAAATTTTTATACAAAAAAGCAGATTGGGTGAAGTACTGTGAAATATCTGAAACTTTATTTAATGATATCAATGTGGATACTGAGAACCCTTTGAAGTCATATAATACCTTCTGTAATAGACTTAGCTCTTTGAAGTTACTTTGCATCCCAAAGTATACCAAGACTAGTTCATATAGAAGTAGGCCACCAGCGCCATGGTGGAATGAGAAGTGCGAACAAAGCGTCATTAAGTCTTATCAAGCTTTAAAATACTATAGAAGTAATACTACAATGGATAACTACATTATATATAAGAAGTTAGACGCCTTGAAAAAGAGAACCATATCTGAAGAAAAGAAAAATGGTTGGCGCAATCTCTGTGAGTCTTTTAATAGAAATACTCCTATCAGTAAGATTTTGAACTATATTAAAATGTTTAAGGGTAGGAAAACTCATAATAAATCACTTTCTGATGAATTTGTTTTGCCATTCTTAGATAAACTATCAGATAATGGATCTGATGGTATAGTTGATGTTGATATGTATTTTAATATTAATAATGATAATAAGCCCGCAGGGCACCTTGAGGCGAGGTGACGGGAATTAGTGATCCCGCGGGCTACCATCATCCCGATTGCTCCAGGGAGGAGTCACCGTTCCTTATCTCCGGCTTGCCTTCATTGGCTGGTCGGAGTGAACGATGACGAGGAACAGGTCTCCCACCTCTGGCTTGCCTTCATTGGCCGTCCAGAGTGGAGTCGCGAGAGTAGTGATCCTGCTCGGAGGGTGGAAGCTGTTCGTAAGCGGCGAGTGGGCCAGTGATGCAGGATGCTTAGGCAGATGCAGATGATCTGAGTAGAAAGCTGGTGGCAGTTTCTTCACCCTTCAGCCACTCACATTTCCGTTGTCCCTCTGTTGCTATTACTAGCAACCATTCCCGGGGGCCCGGTCGGTGAGTTGGCGAGTCTCCGCCTGCCATTTTTACGTGTATAAATTACATTGTTTCGGCAGGTGCCATAGTCCTTTCATAGTTCCTATCCTACTAGCCCATAGCAACCCACACCCATAGCCTTGTATTTTGTTCCCATTATCTGCAATAGTCCTACACTAACCGGGGACTGTCCTTGGGTGCATTCCCATAATGCATACAGGGATAGTCGCCGGTTTGTGTCCCATTTCATTTAGATTAAAGTTGTCTAAAGGGCCTCTGCGCAGTTGGCTCCGGCCCCTCGTACGCCTTCCAAATGACCGGGACCCTGTGGTCCCGTGATTGGTAAAGACATACATGATAATAATGAGACACAGTTTTTAATTGAACCTTTTACATGGCATGAGTTTAATATGAGTCTTCATTCCCGAAAAAATTCTGCGCCTGGATTGGACAACTTTCCTTATATTTTGATAAAACATTTACATATATTGGTGCAAAAATTGTTTCTGAACATTCTTAATGCACTTTGGCTCCATCAAGTAATTCCACTGTCTTGGAAAACACAATGTGTGATACCAGTGCTTAAACCAGATAAACCAGTCAATGATGCTAACTCATATCGACCTATTTCATTATCATCCTGTCTTGGAAAAATTTTTGAGAACATGGTTAAGATTCGTCTTGATTGGTATGTGGAATCGAAGTGCATTATCCCAACTATTCAATTTGGCTTCAGAAGAGGCAGAAGTTGTGCAGACAGCTTTGTTTCTCTTATCTCAGATCTGAAAAGAGCAAGAAATAATAATGCTAGTGCAGTATGTACCTTTTTAGATGTACAGGGGGCATTTGATAATGTGCAACCTGGTATTTTGATTAAAATTCTGTCTGATTTAGGTATTCCAGGGAAATTTTGTAAATGGATATACTCTTTCTTAAATGAAAGATTACTATATGTAAAACACAATAATATTTTACATGGTCCTAGGCAAGTGTCAAAAGGAACAATGCAAGGGGCAACTTTGTCCCCATTGTTATATAATATATATACATCTCAAATTTGTAAATATGTAAATATGGATAATGTAAATATTTTGCAGTTTGCTGATGACCTTGTTGTATATAGTGTACATAATGATATTGATTTGGCAATTGCTAATATTAATAATGCTCTTAGTCAATTATATCACTACTACAACAATAAACTTCGATTAAATATCAATCCCAACAAAAGTAATGTAATGTTTATAACAAAAGATTTACCTAGCTTGTCTGTGTTATACAATGATAAAGCAATTCCTATAGTAAGCAATCATAAATTTTTAGGTGTGCAAATTGATAATAAACTGACATTCCAAGGTCATATCAAGTACATTTTACAAAATTCTTTGAAAGGCTTAAATATCATGAGGTGTTTGGCAGGAGTCTCCTGGGGAGCTGACCCAGTTACTCTTGCTATTTTGTACAAAGCCATTGTAAGAAGCCATTTTGATTACAGTTGTCTAGCCTATATTGATTGTAATTATGTACATAGATTAGATATAGCACAAAACAAAGGTCTGAGGATAATATCTGGCGCCATGTGCTCAACTCCCATCCGTGCCATGGAAGTTGAGACAGGGGTGATGCCCCTTAGTATAAGAAGATATCTACTTGCTCAAAGATTTTCTGTAAAGCTATTTGCAGCTAATAATAATGAAGTTTTAAGAAGAATTTTACCTCAGTATCCAGTAGTTCACAATGTGTCTGGTGTGACTGGGGCTGGCCTTCACTGTCATATTATCCCAGATTTATCTCAGGTTATCCTGGAAGCACATTTTAAATTTTCGAATATAATTAAAAGTTCTCATTGGGCATGTTACTCCACAAAGTACAAAATATTGTTATTTGAAGTCTCAATTATAAATACAGTAGTTAGTAATAATGAGGAGTTATTAAACTTTATTCACCTTAACAGTCACTATTATAGACTTTATACCGATGGCAGTAAGGGTTTGTCTCATGTTCGCAGTGCTGTTTATGATCCTCAAATTCAGTTTTGTCAAAGCTTTGAGCTTAGTCTTTTATGTAGCATATTCACTGCAGAGGCTTATGCAGTTCTTGAGGCCCTGAAAAAAATTTCATCAATGCATTACACAACCTATTTAATTTTGACTGACTCTTTAAGTGTGATTAAAGCATTAGAGAATATTAATTTTCATTTCAAAACAAATTATCTTTTAATTAAGATTCGAGAAGTTTTATTTAATTTAAAAAATAAAGGCATTTCAGTTTCTTTTATGTGGATCCCTTCACATAAAGGTATTACTGGCAATGAAATCGCTGATAGAGCTGCATTTGATGGGATAAATTGTATAAATGTATCTAATATTGTAAAGGTACCTTTTACGGACTGCTATGCACTGATTAGAGAAAACATAAAACATGTATGGAAAGACTTCTGGAAGAAAGACCAAGAAGAAAAAGGAAAGTGGTACGGTACTATTCAATCGGACTTACCTGTGAGACCGTGGTATGACCAAAAGCAATACAAGTACGCCAGACGAGATTTTATATCTACTATATGCAGGCTTCGATTCGGACATCATAGAACACCCGCACACCTTGCAAGACTCAAACTTGATGCAAATGACAAGTGCTTGAATTGTAACGTCTTATGTGACATTAGTCACATAGTGTTGGTATGCAGTGACTACAACATGCAAAGGTTGATTTTAGCCAGTGAACTAAGTGAAATTGTAGATAATGTTTCCTCCCGCCGCCTAGAAGATCTACTACGTGATCCAAAGTGTTTAGTGCCGTTATACAATTTCATTAAAAATACTCTGGAAAGTATATAATAACATAAAACCGAGTAAATTAAAAGACTTGGCTTAAAGGACTCGTATCCAGGCCATAAACTCCAAAAAAAAAAAAAAAAATCATTGAGATAGAAAATATATTTACATAGGTATACAAAAAAAAATACAAGACGTCAAACGTCAACAAAATGACAGTACAGGAACAGCTGATTGATTCATTCAAGGTTCAAGCAATTCGCGCCTTTCGCATATTTTTTCGTTAGTACTTAAACCCGTATACCGGTATTGTACCTGTATGAGGCTGTATGCCTATCTTTTATAATCTTATTTATATTGTTTGATTGACTGAATACACGGATAATGCTAACGCAATGTTCGGCGTATTGTATGTTTGCCTAAAGTGTAGTTTTAGTTTACTATGAATAAACTGTTGTATACAGTGAGAATTCACATTGGTGGGCGGATCGTTTGAAGTTTTTAGTACTTAGTTATTACTCTTCATGGTGGCTAAATACCAAGTCAAAATTTATTGATTAATTGAATAATGTACTTCGAAAATGAAGACTGGGATCTCCCCGCGGTCATTGTCGACTCTTCTGCTGATGACACGGTAGGTACAGTAAGACAGAAAATGAATATATTTTTGGCTAAATATTTAATAATTCCTTCCTACCAAATGTTTGCATCATGTACATGTTTATAAATAAGTCAATACAATAAGTATCAATATTTAGTTATTTTATACATAGCTAGCACCTGTCTGAGCTGCAGTAAAGGCATTCCTCAGTCAGTGAGTATCTTTAGGGGCAAAATGTAGGAGCTGAACTCCAGTAAATATTATTGCCTTGTTTATCGTGAGATACAGGGTTCTATTTTATTATAAATCTATGCTTTTTCACAGCTCAGGAAAGAAATTACTGTTTTATGCTAAGTAGCTAAGCTAACTGTGAAATAGCAAAATAAGGGAAAAGGAAAAAATTGCAAAATGTTAATATACCTAGATCCCAAATAGTGTTGTGAATTTATTCAGATAAATCCTTATTATATACTATACCATATTACCAACATATCCCAGGTGGATACAAACTATTTTAGAGGTTTAGTTTCTTTGTATAAGGAAATTTTGTTATTAATACTTTCAATTGTGGTAATTCAGTCCTGTCAAAATTGCGATTATGCATTCCTGATTGCCAATAACCCAGCTCGAACATTTGAAAATGGGCCGGGTAAGGTAACAGTTGTCCTATATACCTTTTTTTATTGAATACAAATAAAAATGTTACGTATGCACAATTTGTTCTCGTTATTTTCTATTCAGTAATTAACCATTTGTCATGCTCAAGTTCTTGTAAAAGCAGTGGTTAGGTACTTATTTCATTATCTATGATGTCAACCTTTGAGCCTTGTGTCTATCTTGGGCATTACTTCACTAAACATTCTTAATCAAAAAGGAAGTTTTTTGAAATATACTAGCTACTCTCGCGCGGATTCACCCGTTTCTCGGCTCCATTTCATTGTATGATGTTTTATAGCCTATAACACTCAGAAACATTGTAGCTATCTATCAGTGAAAAAATTTTTGTTATCCAACCAGCGATTTCAAAGATTACCCCCTACATACTAATTTACAAAGTTATAAACTTACATGAATAATGACTTATTATTATGAGTAGAGTACGTTTGAGATGCCGTCGGCGGAGGAGTTGATAGAGCGGCGCGCGAAAGAGCTCGCGTGCCAACAAGAGCTGCAGCGACTGCGCGAGCTCGAGGAGCGCGGCGAGGAGGCCGGCACCGACCGCGCCGCGCCCGACAGCCTGGCGGCCGACCTGTCCGCCCTGCTGCGCCGCCCGCAGGCGCGCCGTCTCGCCGCCTCCGAGCTGTGGGCCGCGCTGGCGCCGCACGTGCCGGCCGCGCCCGACGACTCGCCGCTGCTGCAGGCGGGGCTTCTGGAAGCGCAGATGCCGGATATCGTGAAAGCTTTGGCCGCTGCGGTCAAGTCGGCGACGCTCTGGTCCGACGCCGACATGCTGGCCTCTTGCGCTTTCTTGGCGGTCGCAGTGTTGATGGAAAATTCGCCCTGCCGCCGGAAAGCCGTGCGCACGTTACACGCGCTCCTAGACCGGTACGCGAATCAGGAACAGGTACAGAGCATACATACGATCGCCAGGGTACAGCGCGGCTGCGGGCCCCGGACTCAGCGTGTCTGTCTGTGCTAGCTGACGGCCGTGGCGCACATGATGATGACTGCGTTCCCGGCGGAGTCCGCGGCGCGGCTGGAGCTCAGCGACCAGCTGTGCAGCGGCGCGTGTTCGGGCGGGGACCGCGTCGCCTACATCCTCAACGGTACGGCCATGCTGCAGCTGCTGGGCGCGGAGCGGGCCGGCCCTCACTGCGGGCCCAGCCTGGCGCAGGTGGCGCGCGCGGCGGCGGCGTGGCGCCAGCGTGACGCGGCCGCGCGCCTGCGCTGCGTGCAGCTGGCGGGCCGCTTGCTGTCGTCGCCGGCGGGGGGCGGGGCCTCCGCCGAGGAGCGCGCCTTGCTACTCGAGCATTTGCGGCCGGAGCCCATTACCGCAAGCGATACGCCACAAGAGGACAGATTGAAGGTCAGTTACAAAAGCCTTATCCAGTCCCGAGAACCCCCGGCTTATTTATACTCCTGCTCCAGGCGGAGGCCATGGGTCTTTGGATTTGAAATGGTAATCAAACCAAATTTCATTGAGTAACAGATCTGTATGAGCATACTTTTCTTTGTTTAGGTGCTGATGGAAGCTTCCAAGTTACGATTGCTGTTTCTCGGAGACCTGTAAGATGCTCTAGCATCGACGTTGTAACGAAAATTGCTGTTTATATAAATATTTTTCAGTTGACTGAATTAAATATAAAATAAAATAAACGACTTTACAAAAATATGAATATAGATTTATTTATGCAAATTCGTACACTTATTTTTATATTAATGAAAGCAGGTAAGTTTTACTATTGGCGTGTAGTCAACTACTACTGCTGATAATGATTGCGACGTATTTCGAGATTCGATGAGAAGTCAGTAGAGGTGGCCGGCATCACGCGTGTGGCAGCTCGAGCCCCATGCGAGTCATCGGCAGCGTCAGCGCCGCGCCCAGCAGCGGCCGGTGGTACGAGCCGCGCATCTCCCACCTGCCGGACAGCCACACTCTGTAAGACAGGTCGCCGCCTGCAGAGAGCAGTAGGGAGCGGCACGCACCCCGCGCTGTGCAGCAGGCCCGTGGCGGCGGCCTGCAGCTGGCTGGCGGCCGCCTCCAGCGACTCCAGGCCCTCGGCCGCCGCGCGCGCCCGCGCCGCCGCCAGCAGCGCGCGCGCCACGCCGCGCCGCCGCCAGCCCGGCGCCACGGCCAGCGCCTGCAGCCAGCCGCTGCGGCGCGGGCCCCAGCACTCCGCCACGCTGGCCGTGCCCAGCACGCGGCCGCGCCGCTCGGCCACACAGCCGTACAGCTCGGCCGGCAGGCGCGCCGCCAGCCGCGCCGCGGCCGCGCGGTGCGCCAGCGCAGCGCCGCCCGCCAGCAGCGCCGCCACGCCCAGCAGCAGCGCGGCGGCGGCGCCGGGCCCGCCGCCCAGGAAGATGAACACCACGGCGCCGCCCAGCACGCACACGTGCAGCGTCAACTGGACACGTTCTCCATTTCATTACTTCCACTCGCTCACAAACCGCATTGTGAGCCATGCACATCTCTATATGTGATTGCCCCATTTGTCGTGAACAAATAGCAAGCAACCACAGCGACCTACTTGAACCAGTATCACTTTAAAATGCCGTAAAATACAGTAACAATCAATCATTTCGAAACAATGTCATCTATCAAACTTGAACTAGTAGACTATAATTATCTAGAAATGAAGTGGAGTTTTGAATACCTAAGTATAGGTAAGTATTTTCCTTAGAAGAATGACCTGCGTTCATGTCAATCATCTTTAATATAAGTAAGTGGCTTGGGAGTTACCTCAAGCTTGAAAATATTTAAAATTGTATTAGTCTTCAACTTTATTCTCATAGTATGGCTTATTAATACTTTATTAGGTAATATGTGACACCACTCCAATGAACATCGAGACCTCAAGTAAACAATCATTATTTTTATTTCTCTAACAGTTACTACTACTGTGGTAACTGTACGAGTTCATGGTACTCCATGAACTCGATCAGAAGGCTGCCATATGTCTAGTGTTGCTAACTGCAGCTAAAACGTTTGTTACTTAATGGTTACACCATACAATTGCAAATTACTGATATACTTTAAAAGAACACAATTCAACAGAAATAAAAAAGAGGAACTAACACTTCAAAAAAAAAACACTCAATTTTTTTACCAATAAATATGTATGTTGTAATTGCTAGGATTATGAAATTCTTTTAGAAACAATAAATATTAAATTAGAGGACACAATCAAGAAGTGAAAACCCTTTCAATGTAACAGCAGTTTCCCAACCAACAAACTACTTACACCGAGGTAAATAGTGCTAGTTATTTATATAAATTCCAAACAACAGAGTATTCACCTGCACTTTGTCAAATCCTTTAATATATCTGGAATATTCTAGTATGAAACTCTATAAATGACCTAGTAGAGATAGAGTGATTGTTATGAACCAAATTATTTGGTAGGCATAGATAAGGAAGTAGTGATTAACTAAAGAGATGGTATTACCTGGTTGAGTAGAATGGTAATTTTATTGTTTGCATACAAAATGCATAGGTTAGTTGACTGTACATTTATTTAATACAAATGAGTATTATAAGGCAGAAGCGCAGAAGCGCAGTGGGCGCAACTTAGGATAAGTACATACCTCTTGAAAGAATAACATGAAGAATGCAGAGAGATCATACTCCACAATGCTGCACCGCACGAGCTCTGTGCGCACCGCGAGGTCCTGAGGCGTGGCCTCTCTTACTACTATGTCACTATCCATGCTCTCAGATAACAGCAATACTGAAAGCCGCTGCACCGGCAATTAGGTACTTACTTCTTGATTATTTTGATCACTTCTACCGCATATTATTCATATAAAATGACTAATATAGTAGGTAAAAACCTACGTTATGAGTTATTTTTTCCTTTTTGCTTTGTTCTCATTTATTATACAGTGATCAAAATATACTTTCTTGTCGTATTGTAGCTAAATACCGAACAAAAACAAACTTTGTATTCAAAACTTTTAAGCTTGGTCTTGTCATATCTGCTGTCAGAACTGTCAAGTGTCGGTTAAGTATCGTACCTGTCACTTGTTCGTTTTATTGTAACAGTAGCATATCACTTATTTTTCTTTTATAGGTACCGTAAAATGGGGAGAAGCGGGTCACTTTTGAACTTTCTTTACAATTTTAATATATGAGCACTTGACAAAATAAGATTAAAGGTTTGTTTTAATGTTCCGAGACTCTAAAGTTTATTAAAAACTACATAGTTATAATGTTTTATTAACAAAAATCTGAGAAAATCGTAAAAATCTGGTCAAACCCGGTTCACCCCGTGCTCGGGGTGAACAGACTCAAAACTGATATCGCTGACGTGCGTTTTCCACCCGCAATTGGTCGTCGGCCCTGAGCTGTGCCGTCATCTTCTCCAACTCGTCCTTGTGGCTGCAGGGAAGCCAGCGGGACACAGAGTGGGCGGAGGGGCCTGTGGTGCGCCTGCCAGCAAGGCCAAGAAGAAAAAGAAGAGGGGCACTCAGCCTGCCGGGGAGATCTCGACCCCCCCGCAGGCTAGTAGCTCCGCGGCCGACTCCCGGCCCAGGACCGTTGCCGAGGGAATGGAATGTCAATAATGGCACAACTCCATTTCCTCCAGGGCAACATCAACCACTGTGCCAGAGCTCAGGATCTCCTACTCCAGAGCATGGCAGAGTGGTCGATCAACGTGGCTGTGGTCGCCGAACCGTATTTCATCCCCGACCGTGACAACTGGTTGGGGTGCGCTGACGGTTTGGTGGCCATTATTGGCGAGACTCTGATCGACCCGTCTCGGGGCCGCGGCTGGGTTGCTGCGGTGTCGGGCGGTATCGTCGTTGTGGGGGCGTATTTCTCCCCCAACAAGAGTCTCGCCGACTTTGAGGGTTTCCTTGTCGAGTTGGGCGCCGTCGTAGGCCGCCATCACCCTCGTCCCGTTCTGGTGCTTGGGGATCTCAACGCCAAGTCATCGGCGTGGGGATCTCCGGTCACTGACCCTCGGGGCGAGGTGCTGGAAGAGTGGGCGGTGACGACCGGTCTGGTCGTCCTAAATCGGGGTTCGGAATTTACGTGCGTGCGGCAGCGGGGCGGTTCGATAGTGGACGTCTCGTTCGCTAGCCCCTCTGTCGCCAGCCGAGTCCGCGACTGGCGTGTCGCCGTGGAGGTGGAGACGTTGTCGGACCATCGGTATATCCGGTTCGACGTCTCCGCCCAGACCGCGAGCGGCCGCCATCCAACAACCCCGATTAACGACGGCCCGCGTTGGGCGCTTAAGCGCATCGACAAGGAGCTACTCGAGGAAGCTGCCTTAGTCCAGTCCTGGACCTGGGAGTCGGCGACGAACGGACCCGTCGACGTCGAGGCGGTGGCGCTGTGGTTTCGCGGGGCGATGACGCAGATCTGCGACGCGTCCATGCCCCGCGTCCGCCAACAGTCCGCAAGGCGCCAGGTGTACTGGTGGACCGCAGAGATCGCGCGGCTGCGCGTCGAGTGCGTTGCGGTTCGCCGCCAGTACACTCGATACCGGAGGCGACGTCGACGGGATCCCGCCGAGGAGGACGCGCTGTATGAGGTGTACCGCGCGTCCAAAGAGACTCTGTGGCTGGCCATCGGCGATTCAAAGTCGCGTGCCAGGGAAGAGCTACTGGGGTCCCTGGATCGGGATCCGTGGGGGCGCCCCTACCGTTGGGCACGGGGCAAGCTGCGGGCCTGGGCGCCTCCACTTACCCAGACGATGCAACCCCAGTTGCTAGAGGCGGTAGTGTCGGCCCTCTTCCCTGAGCGAGCGGGACACGTTCCCCCGGCGATGGCTTCGCCCTCAGCCACAGACTCTCCAGAAGAGGAGAGCACCGATGTCCCCGAGGTGACGCAAGCAGAGACGAGAGCGGCCGTGTCGCGACTCCGGGCCAAGAACACAGCGCCCGGACCCGACGGAGTTCCTGGTCGAGCTCTCGTCTTAGCTCTGAAGGAGCTAGAGCCCCAGCTGAGGGGGCTCTTCACGGCATGTCTCGAGCGGGGCCAGTTTCCCAGTGTGTGGAAGGAGGGGAGGCTGGTCCTGCTCAAGAAGGAGGGGCGCCCCGCGGACTCGCCGTCCGCGTATCGGCCCATAGTGTTGCTAGACGAGGCGGGCAAACTTTTTGAGCGTATTATCGCAGATCGCCTCGTCAGCCACTTGTGCAGGGAGGGGCCGAACCTAGACGAGAACCAGTTTGGGTTTCGTCGGGGGCGCTCCACCATAGATGCAATCATGCGCGTGAGGGCCCTGGCGGAGGAAACGGTGTCCCGGGGTGGGGTTGTGCTGGCGGTGTCCTTGGACATCTCCAACGCCTTCAATACCCTGCCCTGGAGTTGTATTCGGGAGGCGCTGCATTACCATCGTGTGCCTCCCTACCTCCGCCGTACAGTAGGGGCTTACCTGGAAGGTAGATGCGTCACCTATCGGGGACGTGACGGTGCCGGTCGGCGCCTCACGTCGTGCGGTGTCCCACAGGGATCGGTCCTGTGACCGCTCCTGTGGAACATCGGATACGACTGGGTGCTGAGAGGCGAACTCCCGTCGGGCGCCGACTTGACGTGTTACGCGGACGACACGCTTGTCACTGCCCGGGGGAGCTCGCACAGGGAAGCGACGTTGATAGCCACGGCTGCGGTGTCACAGGTGGTGAACCGCATCCGGCGCCTGGGCCTGGAGGTGGCCCTGAACAAGTCGGAGGCCATGGTGTTTCATGGCCCCCGACGCGCGCCGGCGCCGGGATCACACATCGTGGTCAGTGGGGCCCGGATAGCTGTCGAGTCCACCATGAAGTACCTGGGATTGGTGCTCGACAGCCGTTGGGAATTCGGTCCCCACTTCCGGCGGCTGGCGCCCAAGCTGATGGGTGCAGCGGGCGCGCTTTCAACGTTGCTTCCCAACTTGGGGGGCCCGAGCGCCGCCTGTAGGCGGTTGTATGTGGGAATCGTGCGATCCATGGCCCTCTATGGGGCCCCTGTGTGGGCGCTCGACATGACGGCCAGTACTCTCGCCATTCTGCGGAAGCCGCAGAGGGCGATGGCCGTCAGAGCTTGCGTCCTGGCCGGATCCCCGCCCTGGGACCTAGAGGCGAAAGTACTCGCGTCATTATATCGATGGCGCGAGGAAGAGCGGGCACGGGGCTCGAGACCGGTGCAGCGGTAGATCGCGCGGCGCCGAGAGGAGCTCCGTCAGGTCCTGGTGGCGGAATGGCGGCAGAGGCTTCTGCGCCCTACCGCCGGCCTCGCTACCGTCGAGGCGATCCGGCCAGTACTCGACGACTGGCTCGGGAGAAGGCATGGCTCCCTGTCGTTCAGGGTGACACAGGTATTGTCGGGGCACGGTTGCTTCGGCAAGTACCTGTGTCGCATAGACAGGGAGCCGGACGCTCGGTGCCACCACTGCGTCCATTGTGGGGAGGACACGGCGCAACACACGCTCGCCGAGTGTGTGGCTTGGGAGGAGCAGCGCCGTGCCCTCACATCAGAAGTAGGAGGCGATCTGTCGCTGCCGGCCGTGGTTCGTAGTATGGTCGGTAGCGCAGAGTCGTGGGACGCGGTGGTGTCCTTCTGCGAGGACGTGATGTCGCAGAAGGAAGCTGCGGAACGGGAGAGGGAGATCTCCACTCCCTTCCCAGGCCGCAGAAGACGCACCGGGCGCAGAAGAAGGGCGGATAACGCCCTCTTCCGCCCCCCATGAATGGGTCCAGGGGCGACGGACTTGGGGAAGTCCCCGCCCCCTATCCGATGGACCCGAGGCGAAGGCGCGCGCGGTGTCTACGCGCGCCTCTAAGAGGATGCACGGGGTAGTCGAACACCTCACTACCCCGTGCTAGAGACGAGGCCCGGACAGACCGGGCCAGCACTAGTGTGGGGCTGCGGAAGAATGTGGATTCCCGCGGCCCCGCGCGCACGTGCGAGAAGACACCGGGGTGGTTTTAGCCGGTAAGAGTCCGGCACGCCCCTCCGCCTCTCCCCAGGCGGAGGAAGTCCATGAGGATTTCCCCCCGTAAAAAAAAAAAAAAAAAAAAAAAAGGTTAGGTTAGCGGCGTCCCCGCAAAGGTGGTGGCCATCGCTGCCACACAGATGGGGGAAAGGTTTCGGGACCTCTTCAGTGCTTGCCTGACTTGTGAGAGGTTCCCGAAGCCTTGGAAGGAGGGCCAATTGTGCCTCCTTCGGAAGGAAGGGCGGCCGGTTGACTCCCCATCGGCGTACCGACCCATCGTTTTGCTTGATGAGGTCGGTAAAATGTTCGAGCGGATCGTCGCCGCCCGCATCAACCAGCACTTGTGCACGATTGGCCCGGACCTAGCGGACGCCCAGTTCGGTTTTCGAGCTGAGCGCTCGACAGTGGACGCCCTCTCCCGACTCAAGGGGCAGGCGAGGGAGGCGATGGATGCGGGGGAAGGATTGTTGGCTGTGTCATTCGACATATCCAACGCCTTCAACTCCATTCCCCACTCCACCATCCTAGAGGCGCTCCGCTTCCATGGGGTGCCTCTGTATTTACGGGCACTCTTGGCGGACTACCTGAGGGACCGCACTGTCCTTCTGGTGGACAAGTCTGGCCAGCTGCGAAGATACGGCGTCGAGTCCGGTGTTCCGCAGGGCTCTGTTCTAGGACCACTCCTGTGGAACATCGGGTTCGACTGGCTCTTGAGGGGCAACCTCCCTCGTGGCACGTCTGTCATCTGCTACGCAGACGACACGCTCCTTACTGCCCGGGGGAGGAATT